AATCTTTCATCTATATATATATATAATTACCCGAAATGAATATATAACGTTAATATTCATGTATTTGATAATGCTATCTTTTAGTTCTTGAACATTGCCCTACATATAATATTAATTGGCTCGCATAATTAATTAATAAAGCAAATAAATACTTTTATTATGAATAAGTGTTATTATTTAGTACAAATAATATATTTATTTATTCAACAGATTTAAAGAGAAAACGATGCAGTTGATAACGTCTGCAGCCATAAAGAGAAAACGATAAACAAAAATAAATCGATACATTTAGAAATCACATTCGTATTCTAAATTAAATGTTATCACGATCATTTGCAGACAAGAAACGAAACTATAAGATAGTGTGAAGGGAAACTTACCTTTTAATCTCATAAACTAGAAACACCTGCGTCATATTCAAAAAAATGTTATCCAATGAATAAAAACCAAAACAAAAGAAAACCTATTCAGGAAGGTAGGATTAAAACAATACACAGAACCTATTGAAACAGAATTGAAAGGTAAAATGGCAACACTCGTTCGACACAAACCTTTTTTTTTTTTACTTGTTCTCGACGCACGAAACGTTTTACATCAACAAAAAGAAGAGAAAAAAAAAACGCGTGTTTCTTTTTTCTTCTTCGATTCGTATTGTGTTCCTAGACACAAATCATTTTACAAACGCTCATAATATTCTTTTGCGGGCTGGTGGGCGAACCATTTTAAATCACAATAACGTTAGTTGTAAAAAATAGAAAAGCCGCTTCCGTAAGAGGTAGAAATTCGTCGTAATAAACTTATCGTCAAAAAATATTTATACGTGGCTGTCGTAAAAATTATCTACTTGTGGTCTAGTATTTACTCATAGTACGTTTATCTGCAAAAATAAAAAGAAATTGCTGTAATAAAATTTTCGAATGCAGCTGCACATAAAATAACATTTTCTTAAAGGAGCACATGTAGCGATGAATGTCTGTTGATCATGTGAAAAATTAGATCATTTATTTTATAAATATTCTTAAAAGGGACTTCACTCATTTACTTTCACTCACCAACCCCGAATGATTATCAAACGATAATTTTTTTTTGTCTTACGCTAATCAGTTACTACTCCACTTTTCTATACTATACCCGAAATGAAAAATAAATAAGTTACTGAAAATATTCTAAAATGTTTTATCGTTTTTACATAGATTTAGGATGAAATTTAAACCTTATAATTGTGTTCATTGTACTAGGTTATCATTCAGCGTTTTCCACGAAGTGGTTTTTTTTAATTCTTTTTATTTTTTGTAACTTTTGCCAAGGAATTTATTAAACAGTTGTGCGATCTTAACATCGTTTTAAAATTTTGCATCAATTATTTTAATTGAAACTGTTGACGGAACCCAAAGCTTATAATAAAAATCAATATAACTTGCTCACGGTTTGAAAAAAATTGTAAACTGCTGCAGAATATACTAGTCCCCTCTCTTTCTAGATAAAAATAAATAAATAAAATAAAATATAGTGTGTCTATTGGAAGAACTCCCCTCGCCACAATGTCTAAGGTAGCACAACGCATCCTGCCTTATAACGCTCCGTCTGCTGCTATGGAAAGAAGAAATAGCGCATTTTTATATTTAAACAAACATGTAATGAGTTTTTATTCAGAAGATTTTTTGTGCACTTCCTGTTTGTATTTATTTTAACGCATTGCATTACAATGTTAACCAATTGATACACGAACGTATAAACAGGTGCAAACCGGTTTCATGAGAGTAAAAACAATAAAGCTGTATAGTATCACCTGATAATTAAGATTCTTCATGGAACCTTACAGTGCGTCTAATAATTATGGTTACAAAGTGATTGCGATTGCGGTTTATGGTGCTTGCGATAACTATGTTTACATATAGGTATGGTCACATAAAATAGGGTGTGTGTGGGGGGTTTAGCTGATATGCTTTGGTTTGGGTAGAAAGAGTTATTTCTTCAATTCTCCCCCATTAGAAATAGTTTCACTTAAGGTTGTTTTGACAACCTCAGACACTCAGTCGGGAGGAGTTCTTGTGAAAGTTGGACTATACTGGAACATTAAGAGATAACAGCTAAAGAATGTAAGAACTATTTCAATCAACAGCCTTGAAAATTAAATAATTTATTGGTAATAGCCTTGTCGTCTGACAGTTACTTTGTTAATAGTTCTTCTAAAGAATGTCCGAACAGCTCTGAAAATTAAATTATTTATTGCTAAAACTTCTCATGTGAGAGGGCCTTTGTTAATAGTTCTTCAGAAATTCTTCTATTATATCTAAAAAGTTTTTATATTCTTTGACAAATAAATAGTCACGGTTTTGTCTTCGGGATCTACTAGAGCCAGCTTTCAACTCATCTGGCAAAGGTGGATATCCAGTTTCAGGGGAAAATTTATTCGCTATCCACATGGCTGTGAACTCCAATATCGCCATCACTTGATTGATCTGGTTTTTTGTTTCTTTAAGTGATTCCTGGTACTCGTAGTCGTTCACGCTCTCTATTATCATCTGTTTGGCAACAACATCGTACTTCTTAAGGTGCTCAGATAAAAACCACAAGTCCAGAGTTTGCTGAAATAAAGCAATTATTCTACATTAGTTTCAATTGTTATTTAATAGAAAAGTGTTAAATGACGATATCAAAACTTTATGGATGAAGGACGAAACGATTGTTGAATTGCTGCCAATAACAACCTTTAAATGACACAAGTTATACACTTTTTTACAGTGCTATTGTCGTCTAAGCAAAGATCTGTTTCAAGTTGTCATTCTGTTGTCACTCACTTTGTTGAAAAAAAAGTTATATGTGATGCCACTATTGGCATTACATATTTCCTAGCTTTTAAAATATATTTAATTACTTAAACTTATTATTTTAATCATTCTTAATCGAACTATATTTAAGTTAAATCAATGAGTTAATCTTTATAAAAGCGAACATAAAGTACTTTATTTTTTTCATATCCGATCAACGTAAGGGCTAACTTTTTATTTCAATACTAATGTAGACTCATTAATTCACTGTCGCCCCTAATCGAAAACAAAAATCTATTTATAACTCTTTATTATTAATTTCTTACCACAAATATGTTTCAGTTACATGGTTGTTCTAATTCTCACAGTCTTGTTCGCGATCGCCAAAGTATTTCCAAACCTAATATTGATTATGGGGGGCTTTATTTCGATAATTCGCCAATCTTTCATCCGTACTCCTGTGTCCGTTAGGAACAAATTCATTGACTTTCAAATTTGTGGCGACTGGGGGTGCCCTTTTAGGCCTCCGAGTCCCAAACGTTAAAAATATCGAATTCTCCCACTAACAAAACTTAGAGAATGTTATCGTAATCCCTTTAAGGGATTCCCTTTTTTTATGATTTGTATATTTTAAATATGGCCATTTTGAATATACTAATTCTTACTTAATAAATCAAATTTTTACTAAAATGATTTTATTCCTTTTCCTTGAGACAATACTTCAACCACCACTCTAAAAATTTATAAAGGCGATCACCGCCTGCATATTAAAGGATGAGAATAAAATTTTACAAGAGGAAGGGGGAAAAAAGGTCACGTGTTGTTGCTCGCTCCACATTCAGAGAAACTGATTCACATTTAAATGACACAAGCTCTTTTTTTACAACCTTATTGACATCTAATCAAAGATCATAACAAAAGCGATTTTTTCTTTTCCCATTTCTCTACATTGTTTAGCATTTAATTTTTCGTAAAAATTAAATTTTTCGTAAAAATTAAATGACACGCAATAAAAGAAATCAATTGAGGTAAGGAAAATTTTAAAGGAAAAGGAAAAAAATTATAGTTGAAGAGGTCGTTAGTTTCTACCAACGCCATCTTTGAATCACCACAGTTCACAAATGATTTTTTTTTTCCATTCTTTTTCTTCTGTCAATGTCTAACTTTCGAATTAAAAATTCCACAGTCCCTGGACAAATTATTAGACGCACTATAAAATTTTATGTAAAAATCTTAATTACCTGGTGATACTAGACAGCTTTATTGTTTTTACGCTGATGAAACCGGTTTGCACTTGCTTACGTTAGTGTATCAGTTAGTTAAATTAGGCGATACATAATACAAATTCGACGATTGGATAAATTAGACGATATATTATATGAATATAGAATATTTATTATATCAGGTATTATATTAGGATATTATATTAACTAGACCAAATTATGAGACGCACTATAGTGTTTTAATGATTGCATGTTTCGCACGAATTAATTTATAAGACTTTTACTTTTAATCATACAAGTAATGAGTTTTTATTCGGGAGACTTTTCATATACAGTACAGAATCCGTTATCCGGAAATCAGAAAACCGGAAAACCAAAAAACCGGAACGAAATTCAATTAGNAGACAAAATTGCAGGACAGGAACACTTTAATTGTCCACTAATCTTCAGATTTCCTGCTATGTTTTAAAAAACTTTATTTGTGAAAATCTTTAGCGTGGCGGACAGCTGGCCGCCTCAGGCGGCTAGTAAACAATAAAGCTCTTTTTAGTATCACGTGATAGTTAAGATTTTACATCGAATCTTATAGTGCGTCTAATAATCTAGGCAGGGACTGTATAAATATATATATATTTATATGTATATGCGTGTATGTGGGTGTGAATGACTATAAAATATTAAAATACTCACAGAATCTGCTCGAACTTTCAGGAATTCTAAAGATTGCGATTCATAAGATTCTAGCGGCAAATGATAAAGCTTCTTCAGCTAAAAGAAGACATAATTGAATATATTAGTAAAACACAATATAACAATATGCTAGTTTTAACCCTAAAATTCCTCCAACTAGGTCGCTTAAACATATTGTCTCTCTATGTCTTGTTTGTAAGTTTCGTGAACATGTATAATCATGCTATTTTCATGTCGAACATTTTTATTTGAACTTAATTCTACTGATTTTTATTATTGTAATCATGCATTATACTGTTATTGTACCTGGAAAAAAAAGATAACCTGAATAACTTTTGATTTTATGATCAGATTTTCTTTTACTATGAATCCGTCTTAATGATTCGAATAATAAATGGGCTAATTAGTTAGTTCTACCTCGGAATTATTTACGAAATCGGACACAAAAATGAATTTTTAAAAAAATAAGCATACTTTCATTCAATTATTAGTATATTGGTCGATATTTTACTCTTGCTTAACTTTCTCTTAATAAATATACTCCCCATTTATTTATTTTTTGCCCTTTGGCAACTTTCCATTGAATTACTTTTTCGACGAAATTTTCACCCAAGTAAAAATGTCTCCTAATAAATGTACATTCTCTTAATCGACGTTCCTTTTTTTGATTCTCATTTCTCTGCGGTTGTTTCACCCTCATGTGACTTTCTTTTAATAGACATTCGTTCAATTAATAAGGATATGAAAATCAATCCGACGACAAACATCCATTGAGACAGTTTTTCCATGATTTGAAATGTTGTCGCGTTTAACGAGTCAATCCAGAAAGAAAAAGCATTTGACCTGTAGCGACTAGTATCAACCACCATCAACAGATGGCGATACCAAAGGAATGACGTCAAACCCCTTGGTATCGCCATCTGTTGATGGTGGTTGATACTAGTCGCTACAGACCCATGGCTAACCAGTGATCGTCATAAGGCGATCACACCTTTTTTGTTGATTTTTTTTAAATAAACTAATTTTTTATGTCCTACTTTTTTGTGTAGAGCTGTAGAAATAAATAATATAGATTTAAATCGCTCACCGCACAACCTATGTTACAGTGAACAACTGAAATCAAGACAATGCGGACTTTCACAAGTGAATGTCAACAATCATAGAGTCGCTTTGGTGAATGTCCGAAATATTTGTTATGCCCGATTTGATATTAATTTATTATAACTTCTTGCTTAAAATTAAACAATAATTTTTTTTTCAAATTAACATTCATTACTTTTTTTATTGAAGAAAAAAGGAAATGAAATGTAAAATCCTGATAAGGTTATCAGTGGCCTTCTTATTTATCTAATATAAAATGTATGGTTAGAGACATTTTAATGACATTCCATCAAAAAAACTCTTTTTTAGTTGTTTTCAGATACGACATTTCCGTGACATTGTTTTATCGCTTCAGATAACAGTGACTCGTGCAATAACCTTGATCGAAAATTTTCCATGACAGGGGTTGCACACTATTATGGAAACTCTTATACGATATTTATTTTTTCATATTTCTGAAGAAACACACGGAGATTTATTTTTGAACTAGAGAAATATTCAGATCGTTTGATTTCTCATACATTTCTGTGTAAGGTTTAAAGTTTTCAGAGGTTAAAGGAAACAACAACAGACGAACGAAAAATAGTGCTTTGGAAGACCCTTGAAAAATTCAATAGCAATCTTATAGCCTGTATCAACGACTCTTATTATATGCTATAACTGTACAAAATTTCGTGAACTTAATTTAAATATTGAAAGTGCAATATCTGATGTTTTAAGTATTCGATCTAATTAAGGTTTGAAGTAATGTACAGTTGCCTATTTAAGGCACAATATCTAATGTAATAAGGTGTTCGAAAATATCTTATCATTTCCATATTTTTGCACTACGTTTCTTAAATAACAGAACTCCTCCAGAACTCTTCTTATTCCTTACATCAGTCTCCCCATTTAAAACCCATCAACTTGCGTTTAAAGTGTTCGAAAATCTTATTATTTTCACATTGCGATCCGTTTCTTAACAAAAATAACAAAAATGGAATTCGCGTTCGTTCCGACAGTTGCCAATTTAAGGAGCAATACTTTATGGTTGAAGTCTTCAAAAATCTTATTATGCTTAAATTGTTTGCAGTTCGTTTCTTAAACATAACACTAAAATATATTTAAATTTCCGACAGTTGCATATATAATTGGGGCGCAATGTGTGTTTAAATGATTTTTATGTATTTAAAGCAATAGTTAATCTTTAAAAACAAAACAAATCAAGTATGACGAGCTGAGAGGATAAAGGTTCTAAGTGAGGTAATTAGATATAAATTAGCTTTGAAAAATAAACCGTTGCCATTAAGAAATAAAGATGATGACAACCTTTTCATTTTTGTCCACAAGTTATCAATTACCGAAATCTATAAATCCATAACGTTCATTTGAATTTTATGAGTCGCCAAATGCAATTGGAACCTTCTTGTATTCCAAAAGTACTCGAAGACTGTCATTTATTACTTTCACGCAAGAAATGTACCCGATGAAACTTTATTTATTTATTTATTTTTTAGTAATGTTGCTTAGAATCTTCATCGGCAAAGTTCTTAAATTTTTAATAAAATGCAAAAAAAAAAGGCTGAAACCTGCAAAATAAGACCATCGTTCAGTTGATTTTTGGCCACTTTAACGGTTTTCAAACATCGCCTCAGGGCTTCTTCTTTATCTGCTTCACTACTTGATTGTCGTTTCACTTTTACATTCTCTTTCACTTTTTTCTGCGTAGAAAAAAAAACATTTCACATTTGTAATCTCACGAATCATTGAACATGTACAGTGCACAAAATAAAAAAACGACCACCCTTAATACCTTTTGATCTAATAATCGGATCTTCACGTTCTAGGACTCAATGTCAAAAGTTCGAACAGGAGACTTCAAATATGCTAATTTATTAGCGCGGACCAGTGGCGTAGTTTTATGTATGTTTGGGGGGAATTCCTACGCCCCCCTTAACTGAAGGCCTCCACACCGTTTCTTATGGGTAGATCGATCAGAAGACTATTAATTAAAACCAGTTAACGAAGGAGCCATTTAATAGAAAATACAGCAAAAATTAAAAAAGTGATTGCAAATGTCTAAAAATGTGCTTAATTTAAGAATAAGATTGGTTTGTATTATTTACTTGTCAACCACCACAGATTTATTTCTCAAATGTATTTCTCTAATTACTTTTAAAATATAATTTGGGTTCGTGCGCACAACTGGATCAATTTTCAAATAGTGTGCGCTGACTACTTTTAAAAAACCGTGTGGAGGCTTTCTTATGTAAGAGGTGATAGCTTCCTTCTGATATATATATATTGTTAGTAAGTTTCGTGAACATGTATAATCATGCTATTTTCATGTCGAACATTTTTATTTGAACTTAATTCTACTGATTTTTATTATTGTAATCNTATATATATAATGCAAAATATGAGTAAAATCGGTCGAATAGTTTCTGAGAAATCGAATTTTGAAAAAGTTGCATTTTTGAAATTCAATTTCTCAGGGACTGTTCGACCGATTTGGCTCAAATTTTGTATTTTGCCATGTAAAAAGAATTCTTTAATATTAAGTAAAAAACTGAACACCTTACAAATCAAACTTTTTTCAACTATTATAAAATAAACTAATAAAAAGTAGAAAATACTCACTAAAAGTTGCTTTTGCATTTAATTATCTTTAGCTAAATAAATTTTATAATTGTACGCAAAAAAATTTTTAATTAACTTGAAATTTTTTCGAGATAGGGTGAAATGCGCAAAAAAGTAAAATTAACATTAAGGGGTTCAAACTTCGGACCGCACTCCTGACCAAACTATTGGGGCCCTATTTCCCAGATTGCGACTATCCCCTACACTTTGGGGGTCAGAGATCCGTCGAAAAAAAAGGTATGTTTATTGAAGGAAGGTACGTTTTAGTGATTAATTTTGTAACTTAAAATATCGTCTGCACTAATGAATTAACATATTTGAAGTCACACCTTTTAAGATAAAGTTCTAGAACGTGAAGATTCGATCATTAGAACAAAAGTTATTCAGGGTGGTTCAAGTTTTTATTTTGCGCACTGTACGCAAGCTCAGGTGTATGAAATTTTTATAAAATTTTGGAGCAAGATAAGATATTTATTTATTTAAAAATTAGATTTTTAAATTTTCGGAATAAATTGAGAGATTTCGTTCAAGCATTAAATTTTAACATTTAAAATTTCACTAACGAGCAATGTTTTGTAATAAACCTTACAGTACAATATTTCTCCCTTAATTAAATAACGAAAATTTGACTATAGGTATTAGAAATTATTTTGCATGGTTACGAACAAGTTTTAAAATTGTGTGTAAAAACTTTCTGATTTGTATAATTAATTTCAGATAGATGGAGAAAAGCGCTTGAAGTAAAATATAAAAAAAAACTAATTTTTCGCACACTCTATATTTACATTCATTTGATTACACTATTCAAAATATTATGTAGTGCGAAAATCGCAGCTAACACTCTAATTTAATACTCAAAATTTAAGAACAATTGAAAATAAATACTCAAAAAAAATCCGTTTTAGTTTCATAATTTAATTCATAGTTAGCAATATTTAATTAGCATTATTAAGTGCAACGAAAACGGTATAGAAAAATTTAGATAATTTTTACTAAAGGAAAACTGAAATAAAAAAATCTAGTCTTTTTTTATTGTTTAAAGAAACAGAGCAAAATTGAAACTTAATTACTAAAAAAAAAAGCCAAGTTTCATTATTAGATATTTTAAATTTTTCATTCCAACTCTTTCATTAGTAATGTTGTTTCTTGTTGAAACTTCAGTTTGAGACCCAAATTGTGCACATTTTTTATTTCACATTGATGATGACAATGATTCTAAAAATATAGGGTGTCCCGAAAATGTTGCTACAAACTTCTAAGGAAAATAATATGACGCATCATAAGTATTAAGAATTACTCAGGAAATCATGAACGAAAATGTAACCTTACGGTGCTAGGGGCGCTTTCCTATTATGGACATGTTGTTCGTGTGCCTTTAAATTTGGCAGCTTAATATTTCTAAAATATTTTAATTTCATGTTAATTTTGTGTTACTATTATTCTTATTTTTATTTGTAACCGTCGTTGAACAGCCAACCTAATTTTTACGTTTACGACTACTAATATTCAACTCCGTAGCCTTGTTCTTTTGAACCCATCCCAGAAGACAAGGGAACTCCTGAATCAAACACCGGGATAAATTTGCCTTCGTGGAGGATTTTTAGAGGCATTTAACCACGAAAACCTCCCTCTTCAGCCAGATGGCAAGGGGACTCTAACCCATGATACGTCTGTCACTGAGGATATTTTACGTCAGCACTGTGGTCGGAGCAAGTCGGGTGCGGAATTCATATCGATCAGCCGTCGCTGAGATTCGAACCCGGTTCACCTCATTGGAAGGTGAACGCTCTATCCCCTGATCCATCACGGCTCTATGTTACAATTATTTATTGTCAAGAATTGATTGAGTCATGGAAATGCTGTTTTACAATAATTTAATGATTAAAAGAGGTCGTCCAGTTATTCGTCAGATCATTAAATTACGTTAAAACAGCAACTAGTGTGCCTATTTGAAAGCAGTTTTTTAACAATAATTAATAGAAAACAAGAAAAAGATAATTTAGAGAGGCAAAAGAATCTGATGTTTGAAGGCAAGCAAACAACATGTCAATAATAGGAAAGCGCCACTAGAAGCGTAAGATGACATTTCCGTTTATGGTTTCCAAGGTAATTCCTAATATTTATGGTGTGTCCTACTTTCTCTAGACGTTTGTGGCAACATTTGCGGGACACCCTGTATTTTCAGAATCATTGTCGAATATGAAATAAAAAAGCTATAGACAACTGGGGTCTCAAACTGAAGTTTCAACGCGAAACAACATTACTAATGAGGAAGAAATTAAAAGAAGTTAAAATGTCAAATGATGAAACTTGGCTTTCTTTCTAGCAATCAAGTTTCAACTTTCTTCCATTTCTTTAAGCAATCAAAAAAGTCTAGATTTTTTTAATTCTGCCTCCCTTTAGTAGGAATTCTCTATATTTTTTTTAATGCCGTTTTTGCTATTTTCGCTTAAGTATTAACTTATGGCACAGATTTATATACAGATTTCTTTCATTTCATTTAAAAATATATATAAGGATGATTATTGTAGATTAATTTCATACTTCAAAATAAAAACTATAATTACGAAACACCCGTTAAACTATGCAGCAGGAAGAAAGAAAAATATCTGATATCAACCTTTTACCTCTCGTGTGCAGTGCAGTGCAATAGTGAGCAAAAAGAAAGAAAATAAAAATAAAAAACCAAACCGATTTTCATGTACTAAGGTTCTATAGATATGCACTTAATATGCGAATTAAACATTGCTAACTATGAATTAAATTATGAAACTAAAAAGGACTTTTTTTTATGTATTTATTTTCAATCGTTTTTAAATTCTGAGTATTAAATTACATTTCGATTTTTAAACTGCGTAATATTTTAAATAGTGTAATCAAATGAATGTAAATAGAGAGTGTTCAAAAAATCCGAATTTCTAGCGGTAGTGAGCAAATAGAAAAAAACAAATAAGAAAAAGCCAAACAGATTTTTATGTACTAAGGTTCGATAGATATGAATAATATATAAGAATATANAGCAGATGAGGCAACCACAAGCACTTCCACTGGTTCAAGAGGGGAAAATGTACAATATTACCGTGATTACAGAGCACGGAAGCGAGCGGAGCAGGAAAAAGAGTCGTTGAATCCTTCTACGACTGCTGATTCTTCTACAATTAACGTCGCAGGCTGCGAAGTTTAACTTCTTCTGCGCGGAGGGACTCCACGCACTATTTTTTTTAATTCTGACTCGCTTTCGTAGGAATTCTCTATATTTTTTTATGCCGTTTTTGCTATTTTCGCTTAAGTCTTAACTTATGGCAATTATAAACAGATTTCTTTCATTTCAATAAAAAAATATATAAGGATGATTATTGTAGATTAATTTTATACTTCAAAATAAAACTATAATTTCGAAACACCCATTAAACTTTGCAGCAGGATGAAAGAAAAATATCTGATGTCAACCTCTTGTGTGCAGTGCAATAGTCAGCAAAAAGAAAGAAAATAAGAAAAAGAACCAAACAGATTTTCATGTACTAAGGTTCGATAGATATGCACTTAATATGCGAATTAAACATTACTAACTATGAATTAAATTATGAAACTAAAAAGGACTTTTTTTGTGTATTTATTTTCAATCGTTTTTAAATTCTGAATATTAAATTACAGTGCGATTTTTAAACTGCGTAATATTTTAAATAGTGTAATCAAATGAATGTAAGTAGAGAGTGTTCAAAAAATTCGAATTTCTAGCGGTAGTGAGCAAATAGAAAGAAAAAAAATAAGAAAAAGCCAAACAGATTTTTATGAACTAAGGTTGCATAGATATGAATAATATATACGAATATAAAATAAGAACAATAATTTGTGCAGAGAAGTTTGTCGCAATATTTACGGGACACCCTTTATATATTAATCAATAACCCCTGTGTGACATATTGCATACCTTCATAACAGGAAGTTTCTTCCTCGCATCTTCAACAGTTTCTCTCTTTCGCTTCTCATCTTTTGAACGGATGCTACGCACCAATTTAACGGCAGGCCTTAATCTCTCCTGTTGGAGAAAAAAAAAATGGGAAGGTTTTTAGGAAAAATATTTACATATTTTTGTTGAAACACACTGAACACGTAAATGATAATATGAATAATGATTTGAGTGCTACAGTCTTCTAAATAAATAAACGTTTACTTTTCTTAATGATTTGTTATTAGTATTATTGTGCAGTAATGAACGCGTAGTTCACCACGATAGAGCAAAAAAAAAAATCGAAATTGTTTTATAAAAATTTTTAAAATTAAAATGCGTCATTTTTGAGTGAGACTGCCTTATTTTTTTTTAATAAAATTGAAGATAATTTGTATTTCAACAACAATAAATAGTTTTTTTTTGTATTAAAACTAATCAAAACACTTGTATATAATTTCAGAAATATCTTTAGATGTAGCGAAATGCCATAACATTTTGACTACAATCTTTTAATTACTGACTACAAACAATTTCCTATTTTTTAAGAGACTATTTTTTTTAAATCAAAAATTATCGAATTATCGCCAATTAAAGCGATACACACTGGGAAACATCTTAGTACAGTTCACGATGCCTCAGTATCGTTTTTGGTCTGTTTTCGTACTAATAATTCGAAATAAAATTTGGTACCAGTTTGTTCCAAGTTTAGGTTGCTAAGACTTTATTCAATGAATTTAAGCCTAAATATATGTATGTTAATTTTATCTTCTCAAACAAAATTTTTTCAATGAAAAACATTAAAAATAGTCTGTGAAAACAAGCAAATGATACTCAAAAAAATCGTTAAAATCTTCCTTTATAAAAGAATTAGAACCAAATAGACTCCTAAAGATTGTGTGAGTCATGTGTGTGTTTGTGTGTGCCCGCACAAACACACTAATAGCATAAAGATTGAGTAAAGAAACAAAAAGGAGAAATGTATTAGCGCTCATTTACTCAAATTCAATAATGTGTCACTTAGCCGGTTCTTCCACTAAGCTCTTCATATGTTACCGTGAAGGACCAAAATCAAGAGAATGTCGTCTTTCACCGGCGAATGTCAGCAATCACATAGTTGCTTCGGCGAATGTCCGAAATATTCACTTATCCGTTGATATTATTATATTTATTTGATGTTTTAATATCTGCTTAGGATAGATTAGGAGAAACATGAGTGTTCGAAGCACAGGTTAAATGCATACTGAGCACTTAAAAAGACATTGACGTAAGACATACCGGGTATACTAAGTTTTAAACACCCTACCAAATAAGCCAAATTTTTTAAACCAATTACTGCACGATTACGTGAAATGCTTTCAGATTATTTCACGCTGAGCTAAATTAACACGAAGCAAACGGTACAAACGTCAAAAAAATATCAATAAATAAACGTTAAATACAATAATAACATTATAAAATATTAAATAAATGAAAACAACGAATAATATCTGGACAAACAGTAAAGCAAACTTACCGCCATTTCGGTGGATGAAATAAAATTATATAATCTGCACTTGTAGTTAAGAAACAGTTAGCAAAGAATATTAGCGGTTAGAAATTGTCAAAGGTGAAATATAACTGTAGCGTTGAAACGACTCGACTATGGATGGACTGAATGCAACCAATAACAAGCTTCCTAAAACCGGAAGAAATGTAGAAAACTTCCGGTGTATCCCTCCGCTTATGTTATGCTAAAGAGGCGATGCGTGAACAGGCTTAATATTCTTGGAAGTTTATTTTATTGAAATTTGTGATTAACTCTACGCGTAATTTTGCCATTCATAGGAGTTTTTCATAATTTATGAATTGAAACAGGTCGGGAGACTGAAACAAATTAAACAAAATAGATATCGCAGCATAAATAAAGTGTAAGGTTAGCCATGTTTTGAATGTTATCCCTTATTTGGCTATATTTGTGTAAAATAGCATCGTTTGTTATGTTTCGGGGAGCATCATAGCAATCTTGCGGAGTCTTCCAAATTCATCTGTTGTTTGTTTCGTTGAAAGTTAGATTGAAATAACATGTTATAGTGTAAACATTACAAGTATAATAATATTGGATGGTGCATTTTTTTCAAGCTTTTGTGTAAAAATCAGACGGAAATAGTAACGCCATAGTCTTTCGACGAATTTTAACCCCTGGAACCATCTGCGCATAGCTTTACAAGGTCAACCATACATATCTAACAAATGTTCAAATGTTAGCAAATGTTCTTATACCCGAGATGTAATGTTCTTTTAGGTAAGAACCCACTACCGTTCTCCTACACTGATGTTGTTGACAGGATAATGTTAATAATAATCGAATAAGCCTGTTCAAATGAAATATTTGGTTCAAAAAAATAAAAAAATACTGAATAACGAAAAAATAATTATTTTTTGCTTAATTTTTATCTGTAAATCAGTAACATTTAAAAAAAAACGAAAAAATACTATTGTGTTTTTTTTTTGTTTTTTTTCAATGACTAACATCTCTGACTCTAACATTTCTTTTAAACCTGACTATCATACTTTGCATAAAGAACATTTGCCATCGCATGTAATGCAAATTGTAAATAAGGTATTATATGCAGGGCAATGCCTCACACATCCCTGCCGGTTTATTATACCATATATTATTAAGAATACATGGAACCTGCACCACAAAACTATCATCCTCAACTACTAGTAAATCATACAAATGAAAAGCTGAAAAAAATCATATTTCACATTTTTTCGGTAGCATATATATTTTTTAATGTTCCTTGAGGAAAATAATAAACATTAAAAATAAAATTAAACCGAAGAATAATAAATTATTTAAAAAGAACTTACTTGCTTAATATGAGAACTCAGGACATCTAATTTTGCAACGGCGACAGCAGCCATGTTTTACCTTAGATACGGTGGGGGGGAAAAATATGGAATAAATGCGAATTTAGAAACTATTCTGCAATACTTATAAGCTTTTAGTAGTCGCTTATCTGAATAGATCAAGAAATTCTAGAGATAACATACACGATTTTTTTTTCTCCAAATAGACTATTTTTAGAATTTTGGACGTAATTCTGAATTTAAAGAATAAAAAAAGTGGGCGTTATTTGAGGTAATAACCGGATATGTTCATCAAAAGTCTTGAAGATGCAATATCAAACATAAAGAGTTAGAAGACGGATTCATCCAAAAGAAGAAGACGGATACAGAAGTAAATAGTGATTGGAACGGAGCAAAGAAACGGAGAATGATGTCGATTTTATAAAGTTTTCATCCAAACAACAAGAAGATAATTCAGTGATAACACCTATTGTCATTTCCAATAGCCTCTTTTTATTCCAGGAAGTGAAAAAAAAAGAATAAGTTTTTTATCGAAGGAATAAAAAAAAAGCACATGTATAAATTAAAATAATAGTTACATTAAGAGATTAGATATTAGCTAATGTGAAAGAGTCGTGACTCAAACGCGTAAAATAAGTAATTTTCGTTAAATAATAATAAAATATCTTTTCTAAGATAAAAACAAATGCATTAAGACTGAAGTGTTTTGTCTTTTAAATGTAAAAAAATTATCACCTAATGTAGAAAAGTTGTTAAGAATTAAGTGAAAAATTCGTTATCTGAAACGTCTAAAATGCATAATTTTGTATCTGCTGTTAATGGGGTCTTTCTGTCGTATTTTAAAGATAAAATACAGTCCGTGGGCAAATTAATAGACGCACTACAATATCCAGTGAAAAATCTTAATTATCAGGTGATACTATACAGCATTATTGTTTTTACGGGGCTGAAACCGGTTTGCACCTGTTTACATTCGTGTATCAATGGGTTAACATTATAGTGCAATACGTTAAAAATAAATACAAATAGGGAAGTACATATAAGAAATCTCCCGAATAATAACCCATTACATGTTTGTTTAAATATAAAAGTACAGCCTATAAACTCGTGCAAAACATGTCATCATTAAAAAACTGCAGCGCGTCTCATAATTTGGTCTAAGTATTTAGTCTAAGTATTATATAATTTGGTCTAAGTATTAGTATATTTGGTAAAGTATTACCTGATAATTAATGATCACCTGATAATTTTACATAGAATCTTATAGTGCGAATTAACCGAAAGAGACGCCGCTTCGATTGAAAATGACTTTGACTTGTTGTCAGTGATACGTCGAGTAGTAAAAGAAGAAATCCCCTTTTGCTGCTATCCCGAACCAACTACTAACTGCTCAGAAGAAGTTAAGCGGAATGAAGTTGTGAAAACATTGGCACCCATAACTGTAGCAAATCTAAATAAATATATGGACCATCTTTCATTTACATACTACGTCATACTCAGTTACTTTTCGTCATCAACCTAGCACACCAGTCTGCTCCTTTTCATCAAAATGCTTCTCGCCCTCAACTGTCCCGTCACGTGTTTGACAGACCGGTGTGCTGACATTGTGGTCGTCCGTGCAGGTCAGTTCCGACACTGCCGAGAAAGAGGACAGTCATTCCGAGACTATAACCAACGTCAAATAGATACAGATACTGCGGGCGAAAGTTATAGTTTTTGTCGGCCAAGTAGAACACTGTCACCCCCCATGTGTCGAACAACGAAGACGATCACCATCACGATAAAGACGTAGAAATAGAACTCCATCTCCTTGTAGACTTACTACCCTTACGGAAAAAATTGAGGTATTTTTGAAGTATAAATGAGAATTTCAATGGTATTTTTCAAAGGTATAAAAAAAGTTGTTATGTAAATACTTCGTTTGGTTGAAAAGAGTGCAAATGAATACCTCAAAATATACCTCAAATATACTTCCAGAGGTATAAGGTTAATTAGGTCCCCCCCCCCAATATGGGTATGCAGGAAAAATTTTCAACTTGTCGCCGTNACCCTTGAATCTTCTCTATTTCGTTTTATTAGCCAAACCTACACCAAGTATTAATTGTAATTTATGTTGTTATTGTTTAATATTTTTATTACCTCCCTGCAGTGCACAAAAAAGAGCTTTTGTAGCTTAGCATTTTTAAAGTATTTGTATATTTCATATTTTTATTTGATAAAACCTAATCAGTTTGATAAAAAGCAGTGGGGCCCCATTTTTTAATTTGCCCCAGGGCCCTTAGTTACCTAGCTACGCCATTGCCTGTCACCCCCCATGTGTCGAACAACGAAGACGATCACCATCACGATAAAGACGTAGAAATCGAACTCCATCTCCTTGTGGACTTACTACCCTTACCGAAAAATTGAGGTATTTTTGAAGTATAAATGAGAATTTCAAAGGTATAAAAAAAGTTGTTATGTAAATACGTCGTTTGGTTGAAAAGAGTGCAAATGAATATCTCAAAATTTGCCTCAAATATACCTCCAGAGGTATAAGGTTAATTAGGTCCCCCCCCCCAAATATGGGTATACGGGAAAAATTTTCGACTTGTCGCCGTGACAGTATCCCCGCACAGCCGGAGGTGGACAGAGAGTATCTGGCACACGCACCGACCGAGAGGCCCGGTGAAGCCCCTCCGTGGCATTTATTTAAAAACAAGAAAAAAAAACATAGTACCATTTTGGCAACAGCACGGAGGTTATCGGGCAAAAATGCAAAAGTAACAAATTTACCTCTAGAATTAAACGTTTTACATGTATAATAGTTGTAATTATTCCGACTATTAACTAACAGCTGAAGTTAAACATCTAGATTGATGTTTACAATAAAATATATGAAAAATTCAGGGAAAAAAATTAAATTAAAGTTTATAAATTGGCCAACAGACCCTAATAAATATTTGAAATTTTATAAAATTAACTATATCTACCATGTGAGACCTAGAATTTACCATGTGAGAGCTGTCAAAATATAATGGAATTTCTACAAGCTTCGTGAAAAATATTTTTTGTCAAACCTCATGACCGAAAGCTGGTGGTTTAAAAATTTGAAGTTTAAAATACAGGAAACATAATAAAAAGATTGTAAGAGACAATTGATGAAAGGAAAAAAACATGAAGTTAAAGGCTAAAACTATACAATTGACCAAAAGGATCCAAAAATTCAACATAAAAATTTGTAAAACATCGAGCGTACGATATAATAAGATATAATAAGACATAACATTTTTTTAAAGATTTAAAATGAATAAAGCACTTAAAGTAAAAACATCGAAATAACTAAAATGAATAAGAGAAGTAAAGTTAAAATAACAAAAAAGACTGACTTAAAATAGTCAACATTAAGATCCAATATAGAAAACAGATTAACATAAATAAGAAAAAGTTGTTAAAATTCATTGACTAAAAGACACAAGGTCAATAAAACAATAGTACAATACAATGAAGGAAAATTAAAAATTTGTACTAAAATAACATTAAAACCTAAACTAGGCAAGATAAAATCAAAACAATTCAAAATGTAAATAGAGTAAAAAGGTGGTCTAAAATCGTATAAATACACTTTAAAAACTTAGGTCGTGGTCCATAATATAAAAATGACAAGCTGGTCCGGAAATGGAGATATTAATTAGTTGTTAAAACTTGTGCCAGCAGCTCCTCTAGAGCGGTTTTGATGATGGTTTTGATTATTTCTCTGCATCTATTGTTTGCAAAAATTTGTCGGTCACTTTTATCATTGAATAAATTTTGTCGGAGTTCTTGGAAATGATTGCAGAAATATGCTAGATGTTCAAGTGTTTGTTTTTCATTACAGTATTTACATTTATCATCTTTAAGAATCTCTTTTGATAAGTTCCAAACACTCCGTGCCCAGTCGAATATTGATTTAAATAAAAGTTTGCTTGTAGTCAGGTAGTTGAGTGTCTTAATGAATTTGTTGGTCTGCCGACCTTTACTCGATTCTCTCCATTTCCTTTCCCAGCTCACCATGATAAGTTTTCTTACGTCTGTTTAAATCATCTTAGGGGTCCTCAGACACCGGAGATCTTTAATGTCTGAGACGATTGCGTTCGTTGCGACTCTATCTGCCTCCTCATTGCCCTGGATACCAACATGTGCCTTAACCCAATTTAATTCGATGCCCTCTCTCCATTTTCTTTTTGTTTGTTCGATGAGTCTGGTGGAAAGTTCTGGGTCTGCCAATGCCTGGAGGGAAGAAAGCGAGTCTGAAAAAATGGTAGCTTGCGTAATATTGTTTGTTATAGTCCAATCTAGTGCCGCCTCGATCGCCATCAGCTCAGCAGTAAAAATATTGGTATTGTCCATGACTCTAGTGGAGACTTGATCTACTGTTATTCCGTCAATCTTAACTTTTATTGTCTGTCTCCATTATAGAGCCATCTGTAAAGATCTCAAAACCATGATCTATTGGGCTGTTATATCCCCAAGTCTAGACTCGATACGTAGAGGGGTGGACTAAATCGGGGACATCAAAATTAATGTTGAATTCAAAATCTGGTGGTAAAACATCATGGATATCTTTGAGTCCCCAATCCCATTTTATGCGTTTTATTGTAACCTCCTCTATGACTTTAAGTTGTATTGGGATGATTCCTGCCAGTATCTGGAGAGCTTCAGTACTTGTTGTTGAGTAAGTTTTAGTGATCGTCAGAAGTGGAATTCTCTGAAGTTAATTTAATTTCTCGTTTATTTTGACATTATTTTTATACCAGACACACCTTCAGAGGTATATGCGATCTCAACGCTCGAATACGCCATCTGGGGAGAAGATCGCCTCCCTTTGGCCCGGAACTACCTCAAGTGTATTTTTTGACAGTTGTAAAGGTAATTTTTTACTAACGTGAGGTGTTTTACGTTCAACCTCAGGTTATTATATTTCAACCTCAAGTATATATTTTTATACCTGCAGAGGTATTTTTTTATCAACTTAAGATGAGTCATTTTACACATCAAGTTACCATAGGTCAGCCTCAAGTGTTTTTTTTTTCGACCATTAGACAGGCTGTTCTTTATGAACGTGAGATGTTCGATGATCTACTTTAGGTTATTATTTTTCAACCTAAAGTGTGGATTTATATAGTTGTTGAGGTATTTATTTATCTATCTAAGGTGAGCCATTTTTCACTTCTGGTTTTTATAAATCAACCTCAAGTGTATTTTCTGGCACTTGACAAATTTTATTTTTTATTACTGTGAGGTATTCCATGTTTTATCTTAGGTCATTATTTCATAGCCTCAAGTATGTATTGTTGTATTTTTAGAGGTATTAGTTTAGCAACCGAAGATGCGACATTTCACACTTCAGGCTTTTATAGCTCAACCTAAAGTTATTTTTTTAATACTTACGGAGGTAATAAGTAACAAAAGTGAGGTGTTAATCAGCCAACCTAGATTATTAATTTTTAAAAACTAAACTCAGTGGCTCGACAGCCCATAGAAGGCCAAGGCCTACTGCGCCCATCTCAGTTTTCTTGACTTTTCAGATGTTCCTGTCAGGTGGTCATCCGAACGCGGAACCCCCAGTGTTTAGTTCCAAAGCATGCTTGGTACTCATTTATCGACCCACTGAAGGGATGAAAGGCTGAGTCAACCTTGCCCGGCCCGAGGATTGAACCCAGGACCTGTGCACGGGAGCGCGAAGGCCTCTATATTCTTCGGCGCTACCACTCAGCCACCGGGTGTCTTATTAATTTTTAACTTCACTATTTTTTATATTATATAAAGAATAGTGAATATCTTTATATTTTTTCACTAGAAGAGATCTTCATTTATCAACCTGAAGTTTTTTATGTTACACCTTCGGTAGTAATTGCTTCTTTTTTTAAGTTATAAAACAAAATTTCAAATGCATAATTCTTCTGTAATTTAAATAGATTCAATTAAATTATCTTGAAATGACACTTATCGGAGTTACACAGTTAAAAAATAATAATTCTGTGAACTCACATCTTTATAACCCTTATGAAAATTTAAGGTATATTTAAGGTTGATTTGAGGTATTTTTGAGGTNCGGAGTTACACAGTTAAAAAATAATAATTGTGTGAACTCACATCTTTATAAGGTAGATGTCTAAGGTGCTTGAATTTTTAAAGCTATAAAACTGCAAATTTAAATAATTAGTCAGCTGACATTCAAAATGCTTTTATTTAAAACTAAAATTTCATTTTTTTACAATTCAACAAAATTATTTTAAATATTGATTCTGTCTCAGTGGACTGATCGTTAAGACACGGTTCCCAGCAGATCACCGAAGTCAAGCATCACTGGCTATGGTCAGTGTGCGGGTGGGTGACCATTTGGATCAGTTTTCATAGGGACCGAGGGTGTGCGATATTGGTCCTCGTTAAACTGTTCTACCGTAAAGTGCTCGACTTCGCGTGCAGGTCGTCGGGCTACCGAAGAGGGGGTGCCATCCCTCTGCAGAGGATCAAAATTGTGATGGCATGTCTTCGGATCATCCTCAGGGGTGTTTCCCAGACCATCGCCAATAGCCCATTGTGCAGCTCTAGTGCGACGCAAATTAACAACAGCAACTGTCTCCCTGTTGAAACTTGTAAGTATTGAAACCTAAAAGAAAAATATGAGTTAGTAAAAAAGTCATATTTACAATAATGGAGAAAAGATATTTACAATAATGGTTTTAAAATATTAGAAACTAGATATTGTTTTTTATGATTTGAATAAACTGGATGAAATTATTTTTCTTTTTCAGAAAAATGGCATTCCACTTCTGTCATTTCTGTTCGATCCTCGTAGCTAAACGCGTTTAAAAGAGTGGCAGGTACCACAGCCACAAAATGAAATACTCTGAAGAAATCTTTAGAGAAATTCAAATATATAATTCAGATCCTTCTAACACTTTTCATTTTCCCATTTATCTTTCATTATGGTACTTGTAACTTTAACAATTAGATTTTCTTCCTTTTAATTCATAATTTTCCTTCTTTTGATTCAATAAGACTAGTCTATATTTTTAAACTTTTTCTCAGATTTCATAAAACTAATAATTTTTTAATCAATTTTTGACACTGATTCTGAAAAAACTTCCGTTATTGTCAATCACATCAGAGTTTCGCAAAAATATAGTTATTTTAATATTTTAAGCAATGTAATAAATAATCAACAATCTTTTAACAACATAAAATTTTAAAGTTAGGTACAAATTTTATCAATTTAATCAATATAAATTCAATCAATATCAAATTCAATCAATAAGTGTCAAACACACTTACCAAATTTTGCATAGTTACCACTTTTGATTGTCAACGCACATGCCATTCGCCGGCTCGCTCGGAACTCTGGGTAATGAGCTATTTAATAGTGTAATTTAAGCAACCTCAAAATAAGTTTAGGTATAAATCGAATAACTTCGTACACCTCAATAAATATCTGACTCTCTTTAGTTGAAATAAGAAAAAAATTTTATACCTCATAAATACCTCTTTTGTTATGTGTCAGAAAAACAACCTGGTATACCTTAGATATCCCCTTATCAGTCTGGTTGATATGAAGTTAATTTAAAACAACCTCAAAATGAACTTAGGTATAGATAAGAATGACTTCATACACCTCAATAAATGCCTCACTCCCTTTAGTTGAAATTAGGTTAATTTTTTTTTATACCTCACAAATAAATTTTTTGTTTTAAGTATCAGAAAAACAACCTGTATACGTTGAAAAACACCTCATCAGCCTGGTTTATTTGAAGTGAATTTTAATATATATTAGTATATGTAACAACTTAGTACACCTCAGTTACAACCTTTATAAGGCATAATTTCGATGGAAGTTTTCTCAGCAACCTTAAATTACCTAATATATACCTCAAAACAGCCTCAGTACCTAAAAAATATCTCAAATGTACCTTAAATTTTCTCAAGTATTGCTGCTCACTACAAGGCGCAAACCTGAACCGTCAACGGGGTGCGCATGAAACCTCACCATAAATAACCATTTTAACTAGAACCATGGGAACCAGCAGTTAAAAACCAATTTCTAATTCCTAAAAAGATTTAGAGGCGTTTTTGGTTAAGTTGTTGTTCATTTACGTCGCACTAGATCTGCAAAATGGGCTATTAGCGACGGTCTGAGAAACATCCCTAAGGATGATCCGAGGACATGCCATCTCAATTTTGATTCTCTGCAGAGGGGGTGGCCACCCCACCTCGGTAGCCCAAAAACCTGCGAGCGTAGTCGAGCATTTTACGGTGGAACAGTTTAACAAGGACCGATACCGCACACCCTCGGTCCCTACGCAGATATATCCAAGTTGTCACCCACCCGCACACTGAACGCAGCCAGCGATGCTTGACTTCGGTGATCTGCGGGGAACCGTTATTTTTTTTTTTTTTTTTTTTTNTTTTTGTTAAAAAAGGTATTTCACCGAGCAATGAACATTTTCACCTGCTTGCGATTTTTTTGCGTGCGAATAAAAAGTAGATTAAGAGAAAATATTTTTCCGGAGAAAGCCCGCTAAAATCTAGTTTTTTCCTCTGTATCGAATGCAATGAGTAAATGAATGCGTGAATCGTATGCAGCAAAAATAGATTTTTAGAAATGTTATTTTTTTTAATTAATAAAATAGTTGTTGTTGTTGTAGTTAATTTACGTCGCACTAGAGCTGCACAATGGGCTATTGGTAACGATCTGGGAAACATCCCTGAGGATGATCCGAAGACAAGCCATCACAATTTCGATCCTCTGTAGAGAGGATGGCACCCCCGCTTCGGTATCCCAACTACCTCTGCACGCGAAATCGAGCATTTTATGGTAGAACAGTTTAACGAGGACCAATACCATACACCCTCGGTCTCTATGCAGACTGATCCAAGTGGTCTCCCAAGCGCACTCTGACCGCAGCCACTGATGCTTGTCTTCGGTGATCTCCTGGGAACCGCGTTTTATTGTTGTTGTTGTTGTTGTTAATTTACGTCGCACTAGAGCTGCACAATGGGCTATTGGCGACGGTCTGGGAAACATCCCGGAGGATGATCCGAAGACATGCCATCACAATTTTGATCCTCTGCGGAGGGGATGGCACCCCCGCTTCGGTAGCCCGACGACCTGCGCGCGAAGTCGAGCACTTTACGGTAGCACAGTTTAACGAGGACCAATACCGCACACCCTCGGTCCCTACGCAGACTGATCCAAGTGGTCACCCACCCGCACACTGACCGTAGCCAGTGATGCTTGACTTCGGTGATCTGCTGGGAACCGTGTCTTAACGATCAGTCCACTGCGGGACGAACCGCGTTTTAACGAATAATATTAAGTATATAGCAAAACAAGCAAGCTATAAGCTTATTTGTAGTGACATAAAATGTCAGATTTTCACGTTACTACCTGTCATTTCAAAGTTATTTTTTTTATTCTACTTAGCTTAGGATAAACATTACGATTACATCATTTTAAAGGCATATTAATTATCTTATCAATTTCGTTTCGATTTTTTGATTGTTAGATATCTATTCATGAAACATATTTATTCTAATGTATTTCAAACTGCCCATTCCTAACGAACATAAAACCTAAACCAAATCTAATAATGGCCCCAATACAGCAAATTCTTGTTTAAAAGATTTCGTTTCAATAGATACTATTATTTTTAAAATTGAAACTCTTGGCTGTAAATAAATTCGTATATATACCGTCACTTTTACCTTAGTTACATTTGAAAGTATTTCAACTTTCTTGAATTTAATGTAGTTTCATTATGTCTTGTGAAGGATGTAGTATACGATTTCCTGTTATACAGTTCCGTAAAAAGGTAATTGAAAATTTTCTTTTTTTAGCTCTATGGAAATTTAAAAGATTTTTAAACTCTTTTTTGTTACATTTTTGTGCGAATGCTGAAATACCTTAAACAATATTGTTTGTAAATAGGGGGAGAGTTCAATATCAACACCTACGCCCAAATTTTGAAAAATCCGTAAATTGGTCACCAATAACAAGAAGTTATTTAGAAATGATGATTTTAAATTAATTAATATTCTATTGCCGAAATAACTTTAAGTTTGTAAATTCCAATTTGTAAAAAGCTTTGTTATTTATTATTAAACTGAATTAGAGCTTTTTATTTATTTACGAATTATGACAAACCTATATATGAAATAGGGAAGAGAAAAAATAAATTCAATTTCGCACTTAGTCTTATTGTTGAAAAAAAAACTGACTGGTCTCTAAAAATCTTTTCTCCTAAAACCGTAAACATAATTCAAACATTGCCCAATGTTGTCTAAATAATATTATCAGGGTATCTGCGCACCTGGAAGCTCATCAATTTCGGTATTGAACAAAATTTGTCATGATTTTAACTATTTTTCTAAAAAAATCATAGAAAGTGATGGATTTAGGTCGCTGAAAAATCTAATTTTTAAAATGGAATTTACCCCCTCCCCCATTCCATGGCGTTCCGAATAAACTTCTGTGATTTCAGAATTTTTGTTATTATTTTTTTTTTTATTTTATCAATTTAAAATTCTAACTGAAGCAAGCCAGTCATTGACGAATTTTTTTCATTCTGAACAGTAAAATCAGGAGTATTTCTTTATTTTCGATGAACAGGAAAAGTATCTATAGAATATAACTCTGTACAAAAAAAGGGAATTCTGGATTTTAACTGGCCAAATTTGTCCATCTTGATTGCGAAAATTTAACTTAATTCCGCCTCTAGAACATGGATTTAAAAAATATAGATTGTGTTTTTACGAATGAAGAAGGAAACATAAAACTGGCGGATTTTACACTGTACTGATGTTTTGTTTAAAAAACTTCTACTAAGGAAGGAAACGTAAAATAAACTTTCTATACGATTTGGGGACCCGGGTCAACAGCCCTGTATGCCTCTGCCTCAGTCAGGCTCAAGCCCAAACGCAGGAGCCTTTCTGTCCTCAGGGGTAATACCAAAAACTGACGACAAAAAGACTCCAGTGTGTTGGCAGGCAGTGTGTTCCCTGATGAAGTGCTGTCTTGCTTAATACACATATCTTTAAATATTCTTCATTTTCTGCTAGAATCGTATTTCTGACTTTGTAAATTAAAATAAGACAAATTTGGTTTTAGCACTTTTCCATTTTGATTTGTTATTTTATTTTGCCTTTTTTCTCAATTTGTATAAATCAGTTTCCTTTTTTGATTAGAGCATTTTGCATGTCTGAATTCAGTTAGAATCTTTTTTCTTTCTTTTTCGTGTATTTTCCACGCTTCTTTGATCATCTGAAAAGAATTCCATTACAGAACAGAAACGCCAGGTTATTGATTGCAGTAGACTTATGTAAGAATTTGTAGAAATGTTAAATTTTAAAATAAAATATCTTTATATCTTTTTGACAAGAAAGTAGTTTATTAAATAGTCATATATACATTTAAGTAACTATACCATCTTAATTGTAACTAATGAAGAAACGTAATTTTCTCAGTTGTATTGTAATTTTATAGTTGATTATTTTGTCAGGGTTGTTACAAAAATTTCAGGAATTAAATATGCAACCAGAAAAACTCTGGGGAAAATGATGTAAAAGAAAAATATTATTAAAAACAATGCCTGTTTAGTAGGTGAAAAATGAGTCAATATTAAATTTTTGTTAGTGTATTTTCATTTCATTTGAAACGTGCTGAGATCCTTAGAGAATGCTATACTCTAAGAGGAAACATTTTGCGCTGAATTCTCTTTAACCTACATAAATAATTCGACGTATACAGTATAGAAAAATTGAGTTGAGGTAATCTATAGTTCGTTCACCTGGAGCTGGAACTTGGCTCCGCGTTCATCACGTGGTATCCCACGATACCATTTTGCTGTTTTTGGGAGAAGGAGTATTCCCAAACAAGGTTGCTTTTTGGAGATCATATGACAAAAATAATATTTTACCAAGTACCAACTCCTGGTGAACGAACTATAGATTAAACCATAAAGTTCTTTTTTTTTCTGTAATTATCAAAATGCAAACAAATTTTAGCAGGATTACGCAACGGCAATCCTAAATAATTTATTTGTTATTATGTAATTAAAATATGATCTCCTCTAATAGTTTATGTGTAGTTTGAAAGCACAAAGAAGATACCTCAACTCACTTGACTAATGGACATGAAATTGTCATGAAAATTTATCCCATTGTACTGTGTCCTTTTAATGTTTTATTTCTTTATTCCAAAATAATAGAGAGTGTCAATTAAATAATACTAGTTCTAATAGTAATGTGGGATTGAATATATCTTCTTTAATTCTCTTTGACAAATGAACAGGTAATTTATGTTAAAGGCTTTTGTGTTGCAACCTTGTTTATCTCTCTCATCATTAATAATTTTATTTTTTATTCCAGAGAAAATGCAATGATTGTGGTCTCTTATTTTGCCAAGACTGTGCTTCGACTAAAGGAAAGCTCTATCAGTGTTACCGATGTAAAGTGTTCACCTGCGTGCCTTTAAATTTTGACGATGTTGAGAAATTAAAGTTAAAAGATTTGCAATGGTTTTTGGAGACAAAAGGAATCACTATTCCTGCCAGTGATAGCAGAGAAAAGCCAGTTTTGGTACAATGGGTGATGAGTTATTCCCAAAGTATATCTGCTCAACCACAAATGTACACTCCTCTCTATCCCACCTTATTCCCCCAAGGTCAAAGTATTAGGGGTCTTTTTGGACCCCAGGGGGTTTCTTCTAGCTCATCTATACAAGTATAGTTTCATTTCTCATTACTGTATTTTAAAAATATCCTTATAAATGCTAATATTTGGTAGAAATAATAGGTCTTATCGCATATCACCTTGCAAACATAATGTGCGGATACAAAAAAATTTCTAGTGATTTCTTCCTATTTCATGAAGATTGTTATTACTATCACTAGTTTCAATGTTACATTTACAATTATTTTCAGCTTAAAGCATAATATAAAAATAGGGAGGCCAAACAGGAAGTTCATCAATCTGAAAAAAATCAGGGAATTTAAATTTAATGCTCTTAATTTAAAAAAGTCAAGAAAAATGATGAAATTTATATTTAAGGTAATGAGCAATCAGATATTTTCATTGTCAGTTACCCACGATAAATATCACACACAATTATGTGTGCCTATTGGAACTGTTTTGATTTTTTTTTTCTGTTGTACTAAAGAGATGCCAACTTGCTCCAAGACAGGGGCGGCGCCAGTAGGGGGTCAGGGNTGTTGACTCATAGGATATAACATATATTTCATGTTAAGCAATATTTCGCATAAAGCAATTTTACGTTAATGAGGGAGTGGTAATCTTTCAATGCATGATTATTGGTTTAATAAATTCGATTAATAAGGTTTTTACTCACCACTAATTCTTATGTGATGCGCCACTTTGATGAACCGTTTAAAAAGTTGGGAAATTTAATAGAAAATCTGCCAATTTTAATTTGTTGTTCTTACCGTTTTTTAAAATATTTTTTTGAATCTGGAGCAGTTGGCATCTGTGGTACTATATCTGATTTATATCCAAATTTGAAAATTATAATTTTGAACACAAGCATATTTTTATAATTTTGTTTTTTATTGACGAATTAAATCTGCAAATTATAAATGTAATTAACCTTTTAACTGTTGAACCAAAACTCAAGTTTTTACTTATTGTAAAGTTTTTCCCATAATTTAGCAATTTTGTTTCAATAAAGTTATATTTTTAATACTAATTATTTAATTCATTAGGTCCCACGTGAGGAAATTAATTCTAGCAGTCGTGTTGAATTAGCTCAAGAACCTAAAGAAGAAAAATCAAATACCAACAATGCTGGGGTAAGTTGCATTTTTTTTTCCTGTTATATTGCTGCAGGTCAGAGTAATAGATGCAGTGTATTTTTATGACTAACAGGACCTGTATCTGGGCTGTTGGAAAAAAAGTTCTTTTTAATATTGAAATTTCTTAAGTTTTCTTTCCTATTTAAATCATATTATATGATAGACGTGGCATACCTATTTAAGGCAGTAGTCCCCACAATTATAAAGGTCCTTCAAAAAACATAAAATTTCTTGCCTTTTTTGTGTATTGATTTGTAAGTAATGTATGAAAGCTGCTGTTTCAATTTTTTCCCCTGTGCCGTAGTGTTTGATGCCAAGCAAGAGATTTTCTAGGATTGTTAATTGACTATTTGTCGCCAAGTTACTTAGCCGGTTCTTCCATCCACTGAATATTCAAATAATGTCACTTAGTTGTTTCTTCCACTGAGAATGATGAATTGAAGGAAGCTTAACTAACCTCCTATCGTTAACAAGAATTTTCATGATATTGATAAATTCTACGTTTTATAAGTAACTGATACCTACATACAATTAATTTCTTTCTATATAAAAATAATGCAGAGATAACTGTGCTCTGGAAAAAATCCGAATTTCCGGATTTTTTCGCTAACTGCGATCAGGAAATCCGAGGTACAGAAGTTTAAAAAAGTGTATTTTATTTAGAAATAAATATTAGAGCTAGAATTTATACTTGGCATGTTTTTCAATTGTAAATATTTTTTCTTTCAGAATAATGAATGTGATTAGACATAAAAGTAAACTTATACATAATTATTAATTTAAATTATGCTGCATATAATTTATTTAGAATTTCATGTTTTTAAAATATCTATTATTTAAATTTTTGAAGATATAAACTTTTTGAAATGCTTCATTAATGATTTTACTCGAGAAATTTTCAGGAGTTTTGAGTTGGGCTCACAATCACCCTTGCCTATGTATCTGAAATTTTTTTTTTTTAAATTTCTTCGTCTACATTAGACAAAAAATGTTATCACGCTCTAGAATCAGGTCTGTGAAATATAAATTATTAATCAGTTGTAATCAAATTGCCAGAGAAGCGAGCAGTAATTTCAATTTTAGTTGTGTTGTTTTTTAATGTATCATAGCAAGAATAAGAATAGTCTGCTGCTATTGCAACAGTCTCATTTATATTTGATTTACCTATATATCTGAAAATTGTTTTTTAAATTTCTTGTCTCTGTAATGTATCTGAAAGTTTTTTTTAAAGTTCTTTGTCGCCATTAGACAAAAAACTGTTATCACACACTAGAATCAAGTATGCAAAATATAACTTATTAATCAAAATAATAAAATTGCCGGAGAAGTGAGCACTCATTTCAAGTTTAGCTGTGTTGTTTTTTTTGAGAACCTGAATTGTTATAATATTAAAATGATAATAAGAATTAGTCAAAAGCTCGCCTCATCTAATTTAAGTATGACTTTGACAGAGATAAATTCAATGCCTGTAATAAAATGTTTAGTAGGTAGACCACTTAAGGCTAAAAATTGTAAACCAGTCTTTATTGCATCTAACAGTTGGGACTGTTACAAGAGGAAAGACATGATTGACTTGTTGAAATTCATTCCTACTGTTGAACACTTGCATTATAAATTTTAAAGAACCAATCAAAAAGACATGAGCTAAACTACAGCTAACGAATGAGACATCTTACATATTGATCATGAATCCATTTAAACAAAGTAATGCTCCCAATTCGTAATATTATGTAACATAACAGTTATAGGGTATCTGCGCACCTGGAAAGCCATGGATTTCGGTATTCAATAAAATTTGTCATGATTTTAACTATTTTTTTAAAAAAATCATGGAAAGTCATGGATTTGAAGTCATGGATTGCTGAAAAATCAAATTTTTAAAAATGGAATACCCCCCCCCCCTGATTTCTCAGTGTTCCGATGTTTCAAATATCTGAATTTGTAACAAAATACCCCCTCATAGTTAAAATATGAAATATTTTTATCTTTTTCTTTGAAAAATATGGTGTCTTTCAGGAAATGAAAGAAAGAACATCCTTTCTAGAGCGAATTATCTTTTGAACTTTAGTGATTTCAGAATTTTCTTATGTACTTAATTTTTTATTTTATTTCATCAATTTAAAATTCCTAGTTTAGGCTTTTTATATTGATCTTACTTTTAAGAAAAAATAAAACAGCTTTAAATAACTGCATATATTAACTACATATTTGACTGTATTTAGTTATTTGCTTTGGTATTTTTTTTCCTGCTGTTTTATTGCTTCAACTCTTCACTCTGTTTTTTAAGTTTAAGATCAATAAGGATAAAGTTGCAGTTTTGGTTATACCTATCATTTCAATTAATGTTATTATAATGCTTTTTTTAAATTTATTGTTCTGTTTTAGTCGGAGAAAATAGTAACTTCGATAAGTCATGAAAAATTCATGGAAAGTCATGGATTTGAACATCTAAAATGTATCAGAAACCCTGCAGTTATTATTCATTTTTGCTAAAATCTTGAAACATGTACATTTAATAAATGAAACATATATATTTACATATAATGAAGTTTTTTCATAGTAAAAATTTATTCAAAGACTAAATTTGAGTTAATAAGCCTCTTTCTTTGCCAAAGTGATTAACTTCCTTACAAAAAATTTTTAGTAATAATAGAAATTACTCTGAGGATATTCAAATACTTTCTATATTTTGTTACATGAAAGATGTATGTATTTTTATACAATCTCTATCATATTTTTTAATTTGAATAGAATTTTATAAAACATAAAATATTTTTTTATTTTTCTCAACTACTTGATTTTTGGATTTAAATAATTTGGTAAGTGAGGCATCCATGTACTGAATTGTTAAATCTTGTTAACACAAAATTCACAGGGCTATCATAATTAATTCATATTGACCAAATTTAATCTTATTCAATACATTATGAAAACAATTTATTTTATACTAGCAATACATATTATGTATTTCATTAATGTATGTAAAAAAATGCAATTATATACCAAACAAATTAAACTAAGCTTACAAATTTTTACTAATTTTTTAATTATTTTAATGAAAATAACTAATGAAAAATATAATGTAAATACCAATAAGTTATTCATTTTATTTTGTGCTGAAATAGTCTGCAATTGATTTTTCAATCCCTTTCGTCATATACTTCACCTTCAATCACTTCCTTCATATCTGTGCTTATATTTAAGTGTCCAATTTTGTTCATATAAAGCACTACTCAGCTTGATTACTGATTGATTGTTGACTCATAGGATATAACATATATTTCATGTTAAGCAATATTTCGCATAAAGCAATTTTACGTTAATGAGGTACAACTGTAATTATGATTTATATTATATCATGTATAAAACATACAGCCAAAATTATTAAAACTATTAATTGACTTACTGAAAACATGGTTCTCTTAGTATTTTAAGATCAATATTACTTGCTATATTATAACTATTCAGTTTATATTACATATAATAACTATGAGTTGTTAATTATTATCAATCTAAGTATTGACTTTAATTCTTTTATGACAGAATTTAGGCAGATTTTTTAGAATAAATAAAACTTAAGTGGTTGCCAATAATTGTCTGGTCTTTACGAATAAAAATAAGTTTTTATTTTTTTTTATTTGCTTCTCAATATTTGTTATTATTTATATATCTTGGACATCCATGGAGAAAATTTTTGTTTCTAAGAAAATCCCTACAAAATTTTGTATTAAAAAATGTGTCACTTTGCAAAATTTTTCCTTGTTAAAAAAAAACATATTTCGATTTGCGTATTAATTAGTTTGAATTCCTTAAGCTTATAGGTAGGACCTTAATAATTTAATATTTTTTTTAATAATGAATTTAATTTAATAAATTATTTCTGTTTCAATATTGATTACTGTTATTTTAAACATATTATGGGCATTTATTCAAGAATTGTGTTAAATCAAAAGAATTTTTTCGTTGTTTATCTTATGAAAATTTTTTACACAATATACAAACTTTACTTTCCAAAAATATTTTGAAAAAGTTATTGNTTTTTTTATTTGCTTCTCAATATTTGTTATTATTTATATATTTTGGACATTCATGGAGAAAATTTTTGTTTCTAAAAAAATCCCTACAAAATTTTGTATTAAAAAATGTGTCACTTTGCAAAATTTTTCCTTGTTAAAAAAAACATATTTCAACTTGCGTATTAATTAGTTTAAATTCCTTAAGTTTATAGGTAGGACCTTAATAATTTAATCATTTTTTTAATAATAAATTTAATTTAATAAATTATTACTGTTTCAATATTGATTACTGTTATTGATTACTTTGTTAAATCAAAAGAATTTTTTCTCTGTTTATCTTTTGAAAATTTTTTACACAATATACAAACTTTACTTTCCAAAAATATTTTTAAAAAGTTATTGTATTAAAAAAATTTTTTTTTAATTTTCACATGACTATAATATATTCCCGGATAAGTAAACTAATTATAATTTATAAAAAAAATATAAATGTTATGTTAAATGAGTTAATGATTTTTTTCAAATCAATCTATTCCCTATTTAAGAATAACTTTTGTTAATCTGTTTTTAATACATACACAGCTGCACGTTAGCCCAACAGTTATAAATACAGGTAGGCTGTGGCCTATATACCACAAATTTCTGCATGCTATGTAGAACTATTATTTAACAAAAAAAAAACTCAATTTTCTGAGTATATTAGTAGGAATAATTTGAAAAACTGATTTCAATAGTTTGAATGGAGCTGGTTCCAATTACTTATCAAGATAATCAATCTCTGGCTGTATTTTATTATTTACAATGGACCCTGCAGGTTTTTAAATTGAGTAATTTTAATCAAAATGCCATTCAACTTCTTCACTGAACTCTTCAGTTTTATTTTGTAAAAAAACTTTACTAGAACATCTTTAAATTTAACCTACATCATCTAAATTGTTTGTAGGCACTAAAAATTTCAAATATTGTTTGGTCCTCCACTCTTCTTGGAGATTTCACTAAATATTTAGTACCACAAATATAAATGTGGTGCTAAATATTTAGCACCAATATTATGTGGTGCTAAATATTAGCATCACATAATTAAAAGATTCTTTTGTCTTTCAGAAATACCAAATTATAGATTTAGAATCTGTTAACAGCAGAAATCATATATTTGAATTGACTACAATGGAACTGAAAGTGTTGCTCACCAGAAATTTCATCTCATTTCGTGGATGCTGTGAAAAATCAGAACTTCAAGAAAAAGTCTGTTGGTTATGGGATCGTCAAGAAGCAGCGAAAAACAAAAGTATTGTCTTTTACTTATTTCATGTTATGACCTTTTATAAACATTTGTTACAAAATATCATACCTTGGCCAGTGGTCGGAACTAACACGCTACGAGCAATAAAATTACCGTAGTCACAGGGTTGGCATTTTGCCTGGAAGGAAGTAGGAAAATTAAAAAAAGTAAAAATAACCAAATATAATTGTTTAACAATAACTATTTAATGAGTAGTTGAAATTAATATTAAAAATTATTTATTTCATTTTTCAACAGAATTTTAAGAATCAGAGTCAATCACTTTTAGAGCATGCTTCACAAAATAGATCTAGGACTCGCATTAATTTGTTCTCTTCAGAATTACAATGATAAAAGAACAAACAAAAAAGCAATTAATTTTTCTCTGTTGCTACCACCTTCAATAAAAATAATGCTGGGTCACTTCCTGATCGAATACCTCTCTCCATGGAAAATAATTTTTTCTCAAAAGTGTCTCGAACGTGTTTCGATTTTAATTGAACGAAATGTTTTTCATTGGAGCAATGTTTTCTCAATCTTTCAGAATTGTAATTGTGAATTTCTCATTCTTATAATTAGCTTTATTAGGAAGAAGAAAATTCGAAATCTAGTAGTTTAAGTGTGCCCCCGTCTTCTTGGTTCGAATTTTTTTTTTCAGTACTTTGTTGTTATCATAGCAAAATTTAAAAAAAATAATAATAAATAACATCTGCGCACACATTCCAAAAGTATCTGCAAGCTCTGAATATTTTTTCATTACAGAATATTTATATATATATATATATGCATTGCAGAAAAGATAGAAACAGTTATATATTTCTTGCAGGGTTTGTTGATTTAAATCAGCTTGATTTGAATCATGATTTAAATCAAATTATGTTTTTTTTTAATTATTGATTTAAATCAACTGATTTTTATATATATATATATTAATTTGAAAAGTTAAAAAATGGTGTTTTAAATTATTGATATTTTTATTATTTCTTTTCTTAGTTTTAAAATTTATGTTAAATAAATTGCATTAGTTTTAAAAGTTATTATTGCTGCATTAATTAATTTTAGCTAATGAAATTACTTTCTTTCTTGGTATGTGTTAAATTCCAACACATTTGAAATTACATTTTTAAAAATCTTTTGATTCTTGAAATTATTAAATTAAAGTAACAGATTAAAGTAAACATTTAAGTATTTTTTTCTCATAATATGTTTACAATATCTTTGGCATTATCAGATTTTCTATAAAGAAATTTTGTGAAAAAAAATTTCAATGAGTACATAGATTTATAAAACATTATTTAGCTTAACTTATCTTTTTTGATGTAGGATTAAAAATGAATATTTTATTATAAAAATATATAGATTAAATGTTTATTTATTTTTTGATGAATGACTGCATTCATTAACGCAATCAGTAACATTTATTTTGTCATTTTAAAAATCAAGAGAGAGAAAAAATAAATCACAGTCTTAAATTAAAATTATGGTTTGGTAATTGAAACTTTATTTTAATAGTTAAAATATTAAAATAGTTAAAATAGCTCGTCTTTAAATTTCAATCATCTCTCGAACAATCATTTCTCGAAACAATTGTAAATGGGATTCTGAAACTAAGCCCATTGTCTAATTCNATATTTTAATATAAAAATATATAGATTAAATATTTATTTATTTTTTGATGAATGACTGCATTTATAAACACAATCAGTAACATTTATTTTGTCATTTTAAAAATCAAGAGAGAGAAAAAAATAAATCGCAATCTTAAATTAAAATTATGGTTTGGTAATTGAAACTTTATTTTAATAGTTAAAATATTAGAAGAGTTAAAATAGCTAGTCTTTAAATTTCAATCATGCATTTGTTTCAAAATGGTTGCTATGTATTCGAATCGTGTAATCGAAGTAAATACATTAAAGACTTTTCATAGTTAAAATCTCGAAACAATTGTAAATGGGATTCTGAAACTAAGCCCATTGTCTAATTCCATTTGTAATTATATCATTATTTTCTGGTTATATTATTTTTAGTCTTTTTAAAACTAAATCTGCTTATTAAAATTACTTGAATTTCTCATCTTCCTTCAAGCTTAAAAAATCTAAAACTATTTTTAATTTTTAAAAATAATTACAGATAATCTACAATACAGTTTAAAAGTATTATTTCTTTGTTATAAATTTCATTATAATTGTCAATAAGCCTATAGCTCTTTTCAACAACTATTTCACGTGTTTTGAAATTATTCTAAAAAAAGGAAAAATAACCACTTTTGTAATTTGCACAAATAAGTAAACCGCAAGAGGGAAAAAATCACTTCAAGCTCAATCTTTTTTTTATAAAATCAAACTATGTATTTCAGTTGTTTTTTAAAAGCATTAGTCAATTTTAAACCACTCTAATATTTTCTTAGAAATCGCACAAATTAACGTACTAAAAATGGGTTGAGCTGTAATTTTTTNTTAAAAAAAAAATTTTTTTTTTTTTTTTTTTAATTTCTTCATTTAAAATGTTTGTATATGTTTAAAAAATGTTAATAAATAAATGAAGAATAAAAGGGAATGAAAAAGTATGTTAGTACACACCACTTGCATTATTTAAAACTTGTGTTCAGATATTTCTATTGAGATTCATTTTCTGTCTGTTATCAATATCATTCTTATATAGATTAACTAAATTTATAAACTTTTCAGAATGAAATAAACTGATATTCACATTTTTTCTGCTTGTTTTTTTTTCTTGTTACTAAGCCTATGCATTCCTGTTTACTTCTTATATTTTAGCCTTAATTTTAACAACTCAAATCATTTTAAAAATTCAAATTTTTCAGAGCAGTTGGTTTGATAATTTATTAATTTATTTATTTTTAATGTTGTCATTTACTTTTTTTTCTTTTAATTTGCAAAGAAATAGTTTTCAATTTAAATTTTTAAACATATATATGTTATTTAAAATGTTTCCTTCAGTCGAATTTGACAATTTAAATGTATTTATTGCTGATATGTAATCTTTCCCCATATCTATCAATTTTCTCTCCAAAATTTTCAAAACTTCCTGACATTTCAAGTAATATAAACTGCTTTATTCTTTAATAACAAGGTCCAAGAATGAATATTTCCTAGCAATGCCAAATAAAAAATACCCTTTTTTGAATATAACTTCTCAGAAATGCAAAACTCTTTCTTCACTGAAATTTTGTATCATTATCTTTTGGATATTTAATAAAAGGAGATTTTTTAAAATTTTGCTTTACTTCAATAAAAAGTCAATTTTTGTTTAAAGCAATTAGCAAAAAATGCAATTTCTGTGTGTGTGTGGGGGGGAAACTTAACACAAGCCCTAAATGTTTTATCTCGGGTATATGTATACATATAAGGTAATAATATAAAACAATAGGTAATAAGTGTTAATGATTATAAATATTTTAATAAAGAATTTTTTTGAGCTTTAATAAAATTTTTAGTTTATTTTATAAATAAAAAATAATTTGGTTGCAAACTAATCTTATAAATAATATAATGTAAATTTTATAAATGTATTAAGATTCTTAGATAGTTTTTTTGCCATACATTTCTTCTAATATTATTTTAACAATTAGAGAAATAGTTTTGATGATGAAAAAAAATAATCAAGAGAATAATTGCCATTGAGTTTGTCATTCCAATTTTATCAGAAAACCACTGATAAATGACTAGACTTCTTTAAAAAGTTAATTAAAGAATAGTTTTCCTACTAAAGCTAGTTTTTTTGTTGTCAGAATCAAAACGGACAGGAGGTCGTGTAAATGTTGCGAAAAACTTCTGGGATATTTAGGACACATCATCAAGACTAAAACTGCATAAGAACCAGTGCTCGGAAATGTTATCGTAAATGGCTAGGGTCGCTTCAATATTATGACCTGCTCAGAAACAATTTGTTATAAGAAAGAAAATTCTGGTTCTCTTTCTCCCTACCTTGCTCTAAAACTCCAAGAAAAGCTCTCCTCTGCCTTCCTATTTGCTAAGTCCATTACCAAAAATTTGGTCGACTAGTACTGCCTATTTTTCAAAAAAAAAGGAGGGCATCTCAAACCGACATTGACGTCAGAAAGAGATAGGCTGAGACTCGTGCAAAAAAATCTATACAATTTGGTTTTGATATAGCAGTGCAGCCTGGCAAAATTAAATGTAAAATGATATTAAAGTATGAATAAAAGAACAGGTTGTAGACAACACTACAAAATTTATAATGAACATTGCATTTGACAACCGGGAAAACATTTTTGTACAAGAGTTTCAGAGTTAAGCTTTTAACATGAAAGGAAAGGGTTCTGAAAGTGGAATAAAACGTAAATTGTTTTTCGCAAAATTTCATCTGTTTAAATTTCATCCTAAAATAAGATTGTTTCGGTGAAAGGAAAAACTATGGAGTGTCGCCACTTACTTACACTAACTTGGGTGGGCATGCTTGCCAAGTATCTTGTTCTTTTAACAAAGACTCCTGTATTTTATGACTTTCTCCTGTTTACCTGTATATTCTCAAACTTCTCCGTATTTGTTGAAGAAATTTTTTTTAAAAAATGGTGATAAAATATCCACTGATTGCAAAAGTACTTCTCTTATTCCTTAACAGATGGTGCTATTGCCAGTTCTGCAGTATGTTTAGTGTTAATTATTTAAGTCAAGTCAAGATGATGACTCAGGGGATAGAGCATTTGCCTTCCAATGAGGTAAACCCAGGTTCAAACGAATTCCGCATCCGGCTTGCCCCCACCAGAGTGCTGACGTGAAATATCCTCAGTGGTAAACTGATCACTGGTTAGAGTCCCCTTGTCATCAGGCTAACCGTGGAGGTTTACGTGGTTTTCCTCTCAATGTAACTCAAATGCTGATTATTTCCATAAAATGTACTCCACAGAGGCAAAATTCTCCCAATACTCGATCCAGGAGTTCCCTCGTCTTCTGGATCTAGTTAAAAATTACAAGGCAACAGAGTTGAACATCAGTAGTCGTAAACCCAAAACTGGGTCGGTTAGTAAAATATCCGTTATTTTATTTTTCCAATGTTGGCAGGTATGGATGGGGACAGGTTTATATTTATTGCTGACGTGGAAACCTGAAATTGCCAAATATGTGCTTATAAGATTTTTTATGTATTCAATGGAAAATTTCTTAAATGCTTTAACATCTCTTTTTAATTCTTTTTAGACACGATTCCTGATGAAAATTTATGCAAGATCTGTATGGAAGCTAATATAGATTCCCTGTTATTAGACTGTGGTCATATGGTTACATGTACAAAATGTGGAAAACTCTTACACGACTGCCCTATATGCCGTCAAATTATTGTACGAGTTGTACGAGCATTCAGATCATAAACATTTCCATTTTTTCTTGTATTTAAGTATAACCAAAGATTAATTGTGATGACAAATTTTGAGTCTCTCTGTCTTTTTCCCAGTTTTATTTTCTGAAGTTATAAATTGTTTGTAAATACATAGGAAATTGTTATATTTTTAATAAAATTCCTAATTAAAATTTGTTTTTCTTCATGTAAAAGCTATTTCATTTTTTAATTAATTAAAATAACTTCATTTGTACACAATTAAAATGTCTTTATTCAACTTGGTCAACAACAACTGCCCTTTAAATTAATTTTAAAAATCAATGTGAAAATGAAGGGAAAAAATACTTCTCATTGATTTAATGTTTTACGTGCATTTTGAATTTTAATGCATTTCGAATTGATGTAATGCATTTCTAATTCATTTTAATACAGCACACCAAATATGTACAGTATTAAAATTAATTTGTTTAAATTTAAGAAGTACTTATAATACATTAAACAATTGTATTGTGTTTAGTTCAACCTTTCTGTCCCAAGGGCCACATTAATAAATTCACAAAGATAACTAGCATGTTTTTTCACGGGCGCTGAAGCATCTTTCTTCGACTTGACAAATGTGCTTTCGCGTAATACACAACATCACCATGTTCAGTTTCCAAATCACTCAAGAACTCTTGAAATTGCCCGTGATTAAGTTCTTAAGTAATGTCTATATTATTATATATATCTCAGAAGTGTCTATATTAAATATTTTATTTAAAATGTTTTTTTTTAAAGAATATATCATCTTGAAAAAATAGTTAGACTAAATTTATTTTAACAACTTAGCAAGATATCACTTTTTATTTTTTTAAATTTTGAATGTTTTGGATGAACATTAATTTTTAAAAATTAAGATAGATGTGAGGAAAATAATATGTTTAGCTTGCTGAATACATAGTTTTTATTGAATAAAAAGTGTTTTAATGTGTTCTTTAAGTTTTGCACACAAAGTGTACAAAACAGCAAATACAGAGTGACTCAAAAAACCTTGATTAAGAACTGTTTAATATATTTCCATTAATCAAAAGAAAATAATTTCAGGATATTATACATCAATAAATTTTTACATTTATTTCCATTTCAATATAGGGTCCCTTTATACTGTATTGTATTTTATCTAAACAATGCTCTTTATAAAATTCATTGATCATATTTTCTTTAAAACAGTATCTAAAGTCAAATATTTAAATAATGTTGTTTGTTTTTAATAAGCTTTATTATTTTAAGAAATATTCAATACTTGAAATGCAAAATTGTTAAATTTTTTGTTGCATACTCTATAGAAAAGAACAAGATAAAATTCTTTAAATTTTATAATTTTTTTTCTTCTCATTTGAAATTAAAATATTTAAAGAATTTCAATCTAAGCACATTGTTTCGTAGTTTAAATTAGTTAATTGTTTTCACAACTTAAAACATAAGTTTATAATCATAAAATATTTAGTACATCATATTTAGCACAATTGTTTCATAAAAAGTGCTTATAATAAGTTTAAAAACTAAATGGATTAGGGTTAAATTGTTGGTATCAGACGTAAATCGCACGAAAGCAAAAAAAAATGATTACTCCTTTACAAATTATCTATACTCTATGAATTTGTTTGCAAATTATACGTTATAAAATATAATACATAATTAGTTTGAAATTTTACTTACTTCAGTGTTGAATATAAAATTTTAGGGTTTGATATAAATTTAAGTAAATGATAACCATTATAATAACTGAAAATTATTGTAAATATAATCTTAATAATATAAATATTATTTTTGATTAAACAGCTTCTTTAATTTTAAATTGTCTTCTATTTTCTTTTGGAATAGATTGATGAATGTGTTTATAACATTTTCCATCTTGTATAAATTAGTTGAAAAATCACACATTTTAAATTTAACCGTACAATGTATATTAAAAACAATATAATAATAGAACTCATATTTATGCAATATTTCTTTAAATTTAATAATTTTAAAAATTCCTGGAATAAAACAAAAATTGTCACTAATTTTTTTTAAAATAACAAGGGAAAAAATGCAGAAAGGTTTCATTATTTTTATATACATTAAAAAAAATCTATTGAAAAATATGTTATTGTACATAAAATACAAAAAACAACCATTTTATACTGTATTATTACTATTTAAAATTTTCTGTGGGGGACAAAAAGATTTAATAGCTTTAATTATTGTTGGCATAAAATTAAATAAACGTTGCGTAGAGTTATTACTATCTTCGTTCAGTACAGTATTTGATATTTCTAAGCAGATTATATTAATCGATGTACTTTTAATTTGTATTTAGTAGCTTAGCAGTAGTGGGGAACAAGAGTATATGTCCCTGGTTGTAGCATTAGAAATGCGCAAAATTTATGAAAAATAATTTCAAATGAATTCCGGAATAAATTTTTTGTTTTTTAATACTGATTATCTCTGCCTTCTAAATACATATTTCTCCCTCCTAAATATATATTGAATTGCATACTGATAAAGTTACTGAAATGGTTCTTAGTAAAATGTAATACAATTATTTAACCAATACAGTTATTGATATAATATATTTTGTTTATATGATCTAGTACAAAAGTGCTAAAAAGCTATCTTTACCCAAACAGAAAATTTTCGAAACCGAATAAGTTCGGTCAAATAAAAGTAATGCAACATCATGACAGTAGATTTTTCTACCTGTAACCAAAGACGTTACAAACAAATCCAATCAATTACAGTTGCGAAAAATATTTAGATGATGCTTAATGCTAATGTTTTCTTTGAAAATGAAAACACTTTTAGTTCATTTTATATATAAAAAAAAAAAATCTATTTTCTTACTATATAATAAACAAATATACAGTGAACTGTTTCTACTACGATATTCATTGCAACAGTAACTCCCTCTATTACGATAATGTTTTGTGGTCCCGACGAACTTGCATATGAATTAATGTTATCCTCCTCTCAATATTACGGTATCCCCTGAAGCAATAAAAACCTGTAAAACTATTTTTTTTTCTAAATGTCAACCTTATTTTCTCCATTTATAATTGGTTTTCAAATAATGTAAAAAATCTTATTTTATCATTCTTTTGCCATTTTTTTCTGACAAGAGAAGACTCACTGCTGACCAACCCAAAAGCTTCCTTTCTTAGAATTGCAACACCTATCTGTTACAAAGTCACAGTTGTAACATTCCTGTCTGATTTCATTTCCTTCATCTTAAAAGCTGATCATGAGTCACAAATAACCACACGCATCACATTAACACCTGGATTTTTTCCGTACAGGGTGGGTGGAGCACCATTCACAAACGAAAATTATTTTCCTGCTCTGGACTCAATGCATACTTTGTTGGTTGACTTAACAATAAAAAAAAATGAATAAACAAACAAAAATATCCGATTATTTTCAATAAGAACTGTTTTCAGGTATGTTTAAGATCTTTTTTTCTGAACTTACTTCAATTGTTTTTAATATTTCACCATAATTAAAACTCTGCAAATTAATTTTTTATTTATAAATATATTTATAGTTAATACATAGATAAGATTAAAATTTTTAAAAAATCTTATTGTGTCACCAAAGTATGTAGGCCCTCGATATAACAATATGTCCCTCTACAACAATATATTTATTGGGTCCCCAAAATATTGTACCAAGGTTTTACTGTAATAAAATTTTTTTGTTATTTAATTAATATATAGTATATTGATATTATAAAAAAAATTGTTTTAATTATTCGGTTGATTACTTTATTATTTAACCAAACTGAATATTTGGCTTCTGTGCTACTGGTATGTGTTGCATCCCTATCTTGAACTCCTAATGTATGCACAAGAAAACAGGGGGGGGGGGTCACAAAAAAACAACTTTTTTGGTATAAATTAGTTCTTTTCTGTTTATTTAAAACAAAGATTTAAATGATAATTTATGCTAATTTAAAATTCTTAAGCTATTATAAAGTGCAATTATGAAAAAATTTTCAATCATTAATTAATATTATTAAATAACTAAAAAACATCAATTCAAAATAACTGAAGATTTTGAATATGCTTTTTCATTACTTTTACATTTCAACTTAGCATGCAAATAAAAATTTTATGTCAAATTGCTGAATTAGTAACGTACCTATGTAAAAGAATGAATTCTTAGTTTGTGAGCTCTGTGGCAGAATTTTTTTAAACTTTCTGCATTAATTCTACCTAACACTAATATCTTTCTGAAAGATATTTTTATTAATAACAAATATATATGTTACTAATTTAAAGTAACGGAAGTGCTTTGTGTTTACAAAAAAATGATAATATTAATCTGTCATGTATAGTATAAAACAATCTTTAATTGTAAATGTAAGAATTTTTTTTCATCAACCATATAAAAGAATACATGTTTTAATATTATGGGCAATTTTCTCCTATTTTGACAGGGTAAAAACACAATTATTTTTCTATTCTTGCATTTTTGTAAATAGCCTAAATAAATTAAAACAGTTAATTCTGTGGCAGTAACTAGAAGAAAAAGATTGCTGACAAAATCACGTGAATCAGATTTTAGAAAAAGCTTACTCTAATGTGTGTTTTGTTTATAGATTCGCTTGAAATAAATAATGTGTTGAAAATATTTATTTTAAGAACTTTATGGAAATCGATAAACGAAAACTGGGGAAAAACCGATTTAAAAAAGATAGTATCTATGGCTTTAAAAAATAAAAATATTCTAATGCTCAATTCAAATTTCTCGTATTATATAAAATATATCGGGAATATTTATAAAATATGTCAGAAAGATATCAGTGTCTTCAAAAATCATGTATAAATTAATATCAATAACTGTCAAAAAGCAATTAATTAAAACACCACATAGATCTACGATGCTATCGGCTAAATTAAGCGGGTCAAAAAAAATTGGGTATTTAAATGTGTGATACAAATTACAAGAGTCGAAATATCAAATTAGGAAATAAGCAGCAATAACTGAAGAAAGGTTCAAAAATAGTGGTGACTCAAATGTGCTATTTAAAACTTTCATGTTCTAATGTTATATTAAAAATAATGAATAAATTTTATTTCAACCAAATAAAACAAAGGAAGGACAAATAAACTGCAATGATTTATTAATTATTTTGCTACAAATCTGAATTTGTAACAAAATCCCTACTAACAGTCAAATTTTATTAAAGTATAAAGTAAAGTGTCAATAAAAATAAAAACACTTCTAGACTAAATTATTTTTTAAATTTTCGCAATTACTTTTTGTAATATCAGTTTGAAATTCTAGAAATCTTTCTGGAATTTTTCTATTTTCAAGGGAAAGTTTTAAAAAATCACAAGTGTTTATTTCCCCTGCTGACATGTTATAAACACATCTTTTGTAAATAATTCTGACATTGATAAAAGAAAAGAAAAAACATTGTTTGAAAATTCTGCAGAAAAAGTCTTCCATCTTTTGAAAAATTTTGCAGATAAGAAAACCAAACTTTTTTATTTCTAAAATGAAAATTCTTTCAGCAAGAACTCTAATATTCTCTGACAATGATGTCGCAATTCTCTCACAAGGTTTGTTAGTACTGCCTATGAAAATATCCTACCATTTTTAATGTAATTTACAGTATTCAATGTACAACATTCGTATCAAATCAATTAATAAAATAGATCATATCTTCTTTTTTTTTCCCCAATTGAATAGTTTTAGTTTGAATAATTTTAGTCTAAACTAAACTCAGTGGCACGACAGCAATAGAGGGCCAAGGCCTACTCTGCCTATCACAGTTTTCTGGGGTGCAGGAGGTCTTCCGGTCAGCCGAACGCGGAACCCCCAGTGTTTAGTTCCCAAGCTTGCTTGGTACTCATTTATCGACCCACTGAAGTTGATGAAAGGCTGAGTCAACCTTGCCTGACCCCAAGGATCGAACCAGGGACCCGTGGCACAACAGCGCGTTGCGCTACCACTCAGCATTTTAGTCTAATCTTAGCTTTAAACTTAGAGAAACATATAAAATTTAAGGTAATATATTTTTTTCAATTAAAAAACATTGGAAAATTATGGAATGATAAAAATGAACTAAAATATCAAATGGGCTGCATAAATCAATTAAAAGTGAAGAAGAGATGTGTTTAATATAAATGATTTAATGAAGTTTTAAGTATAACAGTACTTGTAATGAAACATTAAATAAAATAATTTACTTTCAAATATTTTTGAATTAAGCTCTTTTATATAATCATAGTATTTTGTAAATATTAGAATTATTAATAGAAACATATTATAAAAAATATGCTTACAATAATAATTTTAAAAATATTCTAAAAATAAAACACAAGAGTCTGAAAAGCACATCTTTCCATATTTATGCCTTTGATTATAGCAAACACAATGTTAAGCAAGATTTCAAAAAAAAAATTTTTTTAAAAAAGGCAACTTTAAATTTTAACATGTTCTAAAATAGCATTTTTTAAAAACCACATGAACATGAAGTTCGTGATGGTCTGATTAATTTTAAGAATTTTCGGAGATTAAGATTTAATTTTAAATTAATTTAGTCATATAAATTTATTTTTACTAATATATATTTTGCAGAAGTAAATATTTAAAAATTACGTATCACATTAAAGTAACAGACTCAAAATCGTAATTAGAGAGAAAATTATTTTTTTGTTTAGCCTTATTTAAAGTAAATGTATTTATAGCAACAATTAAGAATGAAAATTAAGTTATTAAAACGAATTTTCTTTTAAAAAAAACATTTAGTTTAAACGAGTATCTGCTACATTTTAGATTTTCAAATTCATTACTAATTCCAAGAACTTTTCATGACTTAACGAAGTTACTATTTTCTCCCGTCCAATAAAAAGCCTTATAATAACAATAGGTATAACCAAAACTGTTATACTCTACATCTTCATATTTATAGATTTTAAATTTAAAAAACAGAGTAAAGAAAGAGTTGAAACAATAAAATAAGTGAAAAAAATACAAAGCTAATTTTTTTTCCAGCAGAATTATATTCCAAAGATACTTTTCTTGTTCAACGGAAAGAACTACTCCTGATTTTCTGTTCTCATTTTGGAATTAAAAAAATCAGCCAATGAATGGCTTGCTTCAGCTAAACTTTTAAATTAAGAAAATAAAATAAATAATAAAAATTTTTAAATCACAGAAGTTTAAAAGATAATTCGCTTTAGAAATGTTTTTTCTTTCATTTTTTGAAAGAACACTATAATTTTTATAGAGCATGATAAAAACATTTTATAATTTAATGAAATATGACTGCGAGTGGGGATTTTGTTACAAATTCAAATATTCCGAACACCATGAAATTGGGGGGGAGGGGTGAATTCCATCTTAAAAAAAAGTTTTTTCAGCAACCTAAATCCATGACTTTTTTAAAAAAATAGTTAAAATCTCGACATTTCATGACAAATTTTGATCAATACCAAAATTCATGACTTTCCATGGGGAGATTTCTGTATCGTGATCTTTGGCAGAATAATCGTGAAGTCTTTGGAACTTCTGGGCAGTGGCCCGCGAGAAACTAATAAAAACATCATAGAAAGGGACCAACTCGAAAGGTATAACTCGTAGTCACCCCCGAGCAAACATCCACATGTTTGTTTTGGTTTAAATTTGCAAGTTTAAAATCTACTTGGCGATTGTAGTTTGCGCTACAGATCAAGATAAGGAAATATCCCTCTCCCTTTTATTAGATACTATGCAGTTTTCATTCATTTTCGATAAACGTTCCCCCACCTCAAGTACCTAACAGTAATGTGAAAATAAAAAATGCAATGAAACAAGCTTTAATAGATAAACATATATATTTTAACTAAGGTACAATATTTTCTTTTTCATACAAATCTTGAACTTAAGGCGATAATTTTTGAAAATTCTCCTCTCCCTCTTAATATACTAGGTATGGGAACTAATATTCTAGTACCAAGTGGATTGCCATGGTCGTCTAAAAGTACTATGTTATTTGAATCATGTCTTGGTACCATGTGCTTTTGGTGTTTTCTTACGCCAACAATGAATGCTTTCTTCTTCAAACCTTTAATAGCGACAAGGATTTTGTCTCCAATTGTACCAACATGAGTCTTATTGTACACATGTATACATTTAGGCGGCTTTCCATCAAGCATAGCTTGTTTTCCAAGGTTGCTATTATCAACAACGCGTAATCTAGCCATTTTACGTATCTCACTTAAACTAGATGTCACAGAAAAATTTCTAACACTGGTTAAATGACTCACACATTTAAGTAGATTCATATTAGCGGAATATTATTAGCTAATGTTTGTTTTTTTAACTTTTACAGTTTCGTTTAGGTAGACTCTAACTGCTTATTTCTGTTTAACTTGAGATCAAATTGTTAATAAGCCTGAACTTTTAATATTTGGTCAAAATAGGAATTGGTAACTGGATGGAGTGAGCTTAGCCTTAGCGACCACACGTTACCACAGTTTCTCGTTCGTAATTTAGCGATCGGTACGGGAAGTTGAGTCACTTACAACCAGAAGCATACGCTCTCCTCTTTTCGAATCTTTGCGAAAAATGTATCATTGATTAAAAAAATTTTGGGGGATGTGGGATATTATATTTATTTTTTGGCCATTCTATTTTACTAGATTTCTAAAAGCCAAAAATGCGTGTTATTTATGTGCATGCTGTATGATTAGTTTCAGTTTTTGAATGCTTATTTCAAAATAAATCAGCAATCTCAGTAAGTTTTATATTTAAATATTTAACGAAAATGAAAATCTACTTATTTTTTTGTAAATATCAACAACAAAATCTAATAAAAATCCACTTAGTATTTTTATTGTTTTTCTTCGAAATGTACAGGTATCATAACTGTGCAAAATAAATCGTTATACTTCTAATAAATGAAATAATATTAAACCATCAAGGCAGTTTAAATATATAGTAGAAAAACCGCCTTGAATTAAAACTATGAAATTATTATTTAACTATTAAATTATCATTATTGCAGAAAAATTTTCATGAATTAAAACAAAAAGAAAATCTATCGAAACCACCAGGAGTCATAAGAAAATATTGCAATTGTAACTAAGTATCACTTGAGTTCGCTTATTTAGTTATCAATTAATAAATTTGCAATATTTATGTCAATCCGACAGATTTTAATACATAAAAAAATAGTCACACTTAAGGTATCCGACTACCTTCGGGACAAAAGTTTTGAAAAATAAATATTTTTCACAACATTATTGCAATTTATATTGTATATTAATTTAAATAAACATATTTAATAGAGAAAATTTTAATATACAGGAAATTTTTTGTTTAAAGAGTATTTTTTAGATAATTTTAATGAAAATAACTCATTAACGGAAAACACTCTACACAAAAAACTATTGTACATGCAGCTATCAAACTTTTTGAGCCGTTTCGTATAACCCTCTGAAGTGTTATGAACCTCAACTTAAGTAAACTATTAAAAGGAACTAACCACTGATGAAGAAGAAGTCTAAAATATTTGCTACGAGTAAAGTCTTACTTTTCCACTCTTCAATAGTTGTTTCATCCATATTAGCAGATTTACGACATATAGCACGATACGCCTTCGCATAAGTACCCGACACGTAACCCCACTCTTAAAGATGAATGTTCAGTTTTCTCAGCGACGTAGGAGGGAGGGATTTAGGGGGGTTCAAAGACCCCCCCCCATTTTAATATTTTCTCAAACTACTCATTTGAAAAAAATAGTCTAACATTATTTCTGCTTATTTTATTTGATGAAAAAACACTTAAAAAATCATTGGCATCGATATGAACCTCTTCCTTGCTCAAAAATATAAAATATTTGTTCTCCCTTCTCAAGGAAGCAATACTCTGAACGATACCCAAGTATTCCCACGTGTGGTATCCCTACAAAGTTAGCCGATTCCTTTTTATGATTTGAAAATGTGAACAGCTTCAAAATACTCTGCTTAATCTATATTTATCTTGATAGCTTTGGAATGGAGCATCATTCTTAAAGGACAGTGGGACATATCTATTGGGCGTAGGCGAACTTAACTTGTTTGAATTTGGTTATAAATGCCTCGCGTGGAAAATTTCCTACAATTTTAGGAGCGTCTTTTTAGGATTGAAATAAGATGTAACCAGTGGATGGAGGAACTCTCGAATAAAAAAAATTTTTCTTTACATTCTGTCAGGAAACTTACTATGATGAGTTCAAATTTTGCGCAAATTTTCTGTTTGTCTTTAGAGACTTAAGTATATTTTTTAACTACAATTTTATTTTAATTTCGTAGACTATTTCTTTACGTATATTATCGTATTTTTCTTTTATTTACATTTTATTCAATTTTTATTAATAATTTTTTTCCTACATTAGAATCGTGAAACTATTTTTTTCTTCTTGAAAATTATTTATTTAAATATCATAAGAGTCTTTTAATCAATTCAAAAAACACCTTTGCGGTGATATCAATTTTCTTAAATTTGTTACAGGCTCAACACCAGTCAGAATTTGTAAATTACAGAAAACTCTTATGAATGATAAAATTAAGGATAAATTTAATTTCAAATTACAATAATAAAACTTCCTGGAATATTAAGAGTGTTCACACATCGCCTCATATGCATAAGCGGAGGGATACACCGGAAGTCTTCTAAATTTCTTTCTGTTTCAGAAAGCTTGTTATTGTTTACATTCAGTCAACAATCCATATTATTAATTTGCGCTTTTATCCGGATCTTCTGCAAAATAATCAATACGAATCGATCATACGAGTCATTAAGAAGAATAAACTAACTGTTCTCTCTCACTTTGGACAATTGGCCCGCAGACTAGACCGTTAAAAGCCAGTGTTGAAAGAAACAATTAAAGTTTATAATGATTATACAATATTATTTGAACGTTTTTAACGTCGGTTTTTTTTTTCTTTCCCTGCAAAAAACGAAACAACAGTTAATTAAAAAATCGTATTTGGGATGCTAAATTCCACATTTTGTTTTGAGGGGAAAAACCTCTAAGACTAATTAACTTAAAAATATGGCACACAAATGTATATTTCATAGCCGTCGCTGTACAGCAGAGCCAATGTGTTAGGTTTACAACTACTAATGCTCAACTCCGTAGTCTTGTCATTTTAAAACCGATCCAGAAAACAGGGGAACGTGGGAAAAAGTTGCCTATTCGTGGGGCACTTTTTGATGGAACTAACCCGCATTTGCGTTACATGGAGAGGAAAAACACGAAGACCTCCCATGGCTAGCCTGGCATGCAAGGGGACTAACCCATGATCCGTTTACCACTGAGGATATTTTACGTCAGCACTGTGCTCGGTGCCAGCTGGATGTATAGAAATGGATTAAAAGATTTTATTATTTGGTACTCTCTTCACTCAACAAATTTAATTTAGTATTTAAATTCTAAATAATTTAACAAAATATAAATGTTTTAAAGGATTTATTACCTAATTTTTAAAAGTTACAAGATTAAAATGAAGGAAAGCAAAAATAGCTTTCGCGCTTTGTATCTGATTTTAAGATCTTTCAGGAATGTTTACCCCATCCCTGTGGGTTCAAGCACCGATAAAAGGAGTGTGGGTTCGAGAACAGATGTAAAGATAGTGGGTTCAAGTTTTAAACTAAAGATAGTGGATTATAAAAATTTATCAAATGATATTGGGTTCAAGCACATGAAAGGAGAGTAGGTTTAAGTTTTAAACTAAAGACAGTGGATTATAAAAATTAATCATGTGATGGTGGGTTCAAGCACAGATGAAAGGAGAGTGGGTTCGAGTAAACCGATCTAAAGATAGTGGGTTCAAATTTCTTTTCATTAAAATATTACATTTAACTAAATATGTTAGGGAGGGGGAGTATCATTCAAGACGCCCAGAATTTCCAACAATTTTCTAATCATTACTAAGCATCTGGGGAATATTTTGAAGGTCAAAAGCCTAAATTCGATGATAAATGAATGACATGTTTATTAAGGTGAAGTACGTTTTTATATTTGACATTATTGCTCAAATTATAGTATGCACTAATTTTTTAGCATAATTCTATGGGTTTAAAGAAAAATAAAGTGACTTACAATTTTTTCGAAATATTTCGTAATTTAATATAAAAGATTTAACGTTTCCCGTTCGAACAATTAAAATTGTAGAAGTACCATGAGTTTCTGATACTCATAATTGGGATTATCGAAGGTGATTCTTTTTCTAATTTACATGAGATGGGTTCCAACCACCTTCAGACTTATGAGCATAAAATAAACAAAAAAAAAGTTAAAGCGTAGCATTTTTAATTCAAATACACAAACTTTTAATTAAATACTTAATTCTTTTGAATAATTCCAACTCCACAATAAGATTTAAAACAAGATTTTTATTATCCTCGAAAAGGATATATATATATATATAATGTATACATATGCTAAGAAATATTAATTAAGCATCTTTAAAAAAGTTTTTAATTGTCCATATCAACCTAGGTTATTGGCACAGGTGTCGCTAAAATCGATAGTGATGCAAATATGATATGAGTAGGGTTGAGAAAATTCTCTTTTGCCCACTTTTGAGGCTCACTATCGTCTATTTCCGTTACAGGCAATGATAATGAATTTGAGGGGGTCATTTGGTGGACACTTTAATGATTTTTAATAATTCTTAGGTTCAGAAAAGAACTTTGGCCATATTTCCAAGTCTTTCTATAGGTGTCAAAATTTATAAAAATATATACCTACGCTAAGAAATATTGATAAACAACTTTTAAAAAAAATTTTATTTGTCCGTGTCAACCTAGATTAATAACTCAGGTGTCGCTAAAATCAATTGTAATGCAAATATGATATGAGTAGGGTTGAGAATATTCTCTTTGGCCTACTTATAAGGATCACTATCGTGTATTTCCATTACAGGTAATGTGCTCACCTGCTTTCTAATTAATATTAAATACCGCATTCAGGGGCTCATTGAGTGGACACTTTAATAATTTTTTATAATTTTTTGGCTCCGAAAAGAACTTTGGTTATAATTTCAAGTCTTTCCATAGGTGTCAATATTTCTAAAAATATATACATATGCTAAGAAATATTGAATAAACATCTTTAAAAAACATTTTCAATTGTCCGTGTCAACCTAGGTTATAAGCGCAGATGTCGCTAAAATTCGACAGTGATGCAAATATGACATGAGTAGGTTTGAGAGAATTCTCTTTTCCCTACTTTTAAGTCTCACTATCGTCTATTTCCGTTACAGGCAATGTTCTCGTTTGCATTTGAATTAATATTAAATAATGAATTTGAGGTGGTCAATTGGTGGACATTTTAATGATTTTTTGTAATTTTTTGGTTCAAAAAAATACTTTGGCCATAATTTCAAGTCTTTC